CTAAAGTTCTCTGAGATGGCCCCTCCACTAGGCATAGGCCCCCGAGCTGAACCCTTTAGGGAGGCAGACCCCGACATAGCTTCCAAGATAAGAGTAAGCCCGGAAATGGTACGTATGTTTGTCGTGGGCGTCCTGAAACGTTCCCTCTAGTAGTCACAGAGTAGACTGCTGAGATATTGCCCTTAACGTGAGTATGCCTTTGACATGGCTTCCAATATATGAGAAGACTGAAGATACAGCCTCTCTGCTCTACATAAACATTCCTGAGACAGACCTACCTCCCAGTCTGAGAGAACCTTGAGACAGCCCCTCTGATGGCCACAGAGGTCCCTGAAGTAGCCCTCATTATAAATGGAGAATCCAGAGATAGCCCCTCTGCTAATTGTGGACCTGGGCAAGCCCTTCCCCACAAGTCACAGTGACTGCTGAGACAAGACTCTCCACTGGCAAAAGATCCCCGAGATAGACCTTGGAGGATGGGACCCTAGGTTAAACTCAATGAAATCAAGAAATTCAGTTATAATTCCTTTTTTGGCTGGGCGTGGTGGCTCATGCCTGTAATACCAGCACTTTGGGAGGCCGAGGCGGGAGGATTGCTTGAGGCCAGGAGTTCAAGACCAGCCTAGGCAACACAGCGAGACCCCCATCTCTACAAAAAATTTAAAAATTAGCCAGGCATGGTGGTGCATGCCCGAGGTCTCAGTTACTTAAGACACTGAGGCAGGAGAGATCTCTTGAGCCCAGGAGGTCAAGGCTGCAGTGTGCTGTGACTGTGCCACTGTACTCTAGCCTGAACAACAGAGTGTGATCCTGTCTCCAAAATAATAATAATAATAATAATTATTATTATTGTTATTATTCCTTTTCTGATCAGGGATACCTTGGGCTAACTCTTCCCTAGGTCACAGAAAGCTGAGATAGCCCTCTGACAATCATGAAGACGTGAGGGTAGTCCCTTAAGAGTATGCAAACACTAGAGACAGCTCCTGTGATGTGGAGAAACCTGAGATACGGACCCTCAACTGATCATGGAGAACTTCGAGATAGCCCTTCTACTCAACTCATAGAAAGCCCTGCCATTGGCCAGGCGCGGTGGCTCATTCCTGTAATCCCAGCACTTTGGAAAGCTGAGGCAGATGGATCATAAGGTCAAGAGATCGAGACCATCCTGGCCAACATGGTGAAACCCCGTCTCTACTAAAAATGCAAAAATTAGCTGGGCATGGTGGCGTGCGCCTGTAGTCCCAGCTACGCTGGAGACTGAGGCAGGAGAATCTTTTGAACCTGGGAGGCAGAGGTTGCAGTGAGCCGAGATCGCACCACTGTACTCTAGCCTGGCGACAGAGCAAGACTCCATCTCAAAAAAAAAAAAAAAAAAAAGAAAAGAAAGAAAGGCCTGCCATTGCAGGACTATTGATCATGGAGAGCCCTGTTGTGAAGAAACCCTTGAGGCAGACCTCCAGGTAGACTCCATGACGTAAGAGGATCCCAGAGCCAGCACTCAACTTGCAAAGAGAGTTGGAGAGCCTTTCTCACAGACCCTGAGATAGCTCCTTGCTGCCAACAGGGATCTCTGGTGCATCCTTCCTATATTTCTAGTGCAAGAAAATTCCTAAGAGCCCCTAGGGAACAGAAACTCCTGAGACAGCCTCCTTAGTGTGGGAAGAACTCCAAGGTCCATAACACAGGATTGATGCCTTCTGATGTAGAGAGATGCCTGAGATAACCCCTGGAGAAGAGAGGCTGGAGGCTGCAGATAGCCCCTTTAGGAGATCATAGAAACACAGTTACCTAGCGAAGTACCCTGGAAGAAAACCACTCATGTGAGGAGACTCATGAAATAACCTACGTGGAGATCCCTGATGTAGACTCTCCCACCAAATATAGAGCAAGACTTCTGAGATACTGACTTGGGTACAAATAGCTTAGATACCCCAGTGGAAGGAGAACATCACTGAGGTAGCCCTCAGGGAAGAGAGACCCTAGAGACAGCGTGTCTGGTGTGGAAGAGCTCTGAGATAGACCCTCAGAGGAGAGTCCAGAGATATCCCTCTGAAATAGGAAGACGTTCTTTTTTTTTTTTTTTTTTTTTTTAAGACAGAGTCTCACTCTATTGCCCAGGCTGGAGTGCAGTGGCGTCATCTCAGCTCACTGCAACCTCTACCTCCAAGGTTCAAGTGATTTTCCTGTCTCAGCCTTCTGAGTAGTTGGGATTACAGGCCCATGCCACCACACCCAACTAATTTTTGTATTTTTAGTAGCGATGAGGTTTCGCCATGTTGGCCAGGCTGGTCTCAAACTCCTGACCTCAGGTGATCTGCCTGCCTCGGCCTCCCAAAGTGCTGGGAATTACAGGCATGAGCCATAGCGCCCAGCCAATATGGGAAGACTTCCACAACACTTTGGTGTGGGTTGATGACTCAAAAGGCCCCTGACATAACCCCTAATACCAGGGCACACCCAGCACAGCCTTACTTCTTGGCAATGTTGAGCATCTTCAGTTTCTTCTTCATGCGTGGCCGGGAAGTGGCGGAGACAGAGGTATCCACGAGGGAGGACGTGGATTGTGACACCTGGAAGAATGAAGGCGGGATGGGTCAATTGCTAATTCAGACCCTGGGGGAGGGGCAGACGGATCCAGGGGGTCTCCATCAAGGAAGGAGCGGTGGCGGAGCCTAAGACGTGTAAATAGGGAAGGGGCGCGGCCTCTGTGCGGTCAGGGCAGACCCCAGGGGTCACGGACTCACCTTCCGCATAATCTTCCGGCCATAGAACAGCACTTTGTCCCTCTTCCGGAACCGATACCGGGGGCCATCCGGGGCTGGGGTTTCTGGGGATAGGTGGGGACAGGGGCACTCCGAGCTCTGTGCAGACTCCACCCTGCTAGAGCTGGGATACCGCGAACAGACGCCAGCAAATCCCCAACTCTGCCGCCTCAGGACCCGGGCATTTGGGCCCCCCACCACACAGCCTCCCAAGAGGGGCCCCTCGGGTGCTCACTTGGCACTCGCAGCCTCCGCACCACCAGGAGGATGAGCACGGCCGTGACCACCACCGCCACTCCGGCCCCAATCATCACGCCCAGCACCTGAGGGACGAACGGCACTGGTTGCGCACCGCAAATCCGTCCCGCCGAGACTTCCCCGGGCTCCAGGACGTCCTGGAACCCATCCCTCTCCGCCACCTTCGCCCCCGAGGAGTTAGTAGCCAGCCCGTGACTCGATGTCCCCATCTGCAGAATGGGCCAGTGCTGCTCCCTCCCCGGGGGCGCGACTCTTCCCTGAGGCCCGGCGGCCCGCAGTGCATGCCGGGAAACGTAGTTCCGCCCAAGCGGACGCAGCGAGTTCTCGCCAGACCACGTAATGCGCGCTGAGCACGCCGGGAGTTGTAGTCCCTGTGGCGCCCCACGCCCGCGTCTACCCGGTCCCCGCCCCACCCCTTACCATTCCAGTTTGCAGCGGAGCCTCCATCGGTTGATTCCAGCTGGACTGCCGATCTGGTAGCCCGGAGTCCTGGGAAATGAAGGAGTCGAAGGAACCCGTGCAAGTCGTCAATCTGGGCCCGCCCCTCCCCTGCCTCAAGCCCTGCCCCCAGCTTAAGCCCCGCCCTCGGGGGGGATGAAGCGTCTCCACCTGCCAGGGGCGCGGCTAGAGGGGAGCTGTGGGACTAAGGAATGGAGCAAACAGACCTCCCGGCTCAGGCCAGGAGGTGAAGGGAGTCCCCGGCTCCCTTCGCCTACGCGTAGGGCCTACCAGACGATCCGCCCGTCCAACCCCACCCCGGGGCCAAAGGCCGACCTGGCACCGACTGTCAGCAGCCTGAAGGCAGGTCCCCGCAGGGTACGGTCCCCTGCACCTGGTGACTTCCTCCCGGGTCACTGCCCTCTGCGGGACTGATCAAGCCTGACCACCCGACCCCCTAGGCCGCACCCCCTACTCCGTCAAACACCGAATGCCCCACCCCAGGAAAACTGGGGCCCGCAAGCCGTGGGGTCCGGGGGTGGGGACCTAGATACCCGGCTCCCGACCCAAGCCTGCCCCCGGGAAGACCCAGGAGCTGGGAGGCACGGGACTACTGTCGGGGCAATCGCAAAGGCGTCTGATACCCACGTTTCAGAAGAGTCCTGGGATGCTTGATGTGGTGTGGGCTTGCAAGGCGCTGCTGGTTTTTGCCAGGGATTTACTATCACGTAGTAGTGAAGTTATGGGGGCTCTATGGCACGGAGCATCACTGGGACTCCGGGACCGATGGTGGCGCCATTGCTGGGAGGCGTAACCAGAGACGCTGGAATTAGTGGGTGGGGATGGGGGGTCACTGGAAAGTTACTGAGAGATTCTGAGGATTACAGTACTACTGCTGGGAAAACCAGGAGGTGGGTGGGCACATTCCTGGGGTGCTTATGAGAGCGGTCCTGGGGAGGGCGTCCGGGCTCCTTAGAAGATACTGAGAGATGCTGGAACATTACTGGGATTTTTCTGGGAAGCTGAGGATGTTTCTGACACCGCTAGAGTATTAATGGAAATTAGGGGGCCGGGGGGTAGAAATCTCGGAGACTGCGAGTCGTTACTTGGAAAATTCCTGGGTGGCCTGTCCTCTTTCACCCCAGGGCACACCTGGCTACCGGTGCAGAAACACCTGCCGGGACGTGGGGGGATGGGAACATCAGAAAGTCTAGAGTTAACAGAAATCGGAGGACAGATGTGGGAAAGTGGAGGCTCGCCAATGACCCTCGAAGGGACACCCTTGCGAGGCCAACGGAAACCCGGACTCACCCAGGGGCGGCAGCCGGGGTCCACTCCGCGCCAACACCGCTAGCGTTCCGCCCGGCTCCGAAGGCGCGGTCCCTTTAAATTATTCACTACAAGGCGCACAGCAGTCCCGCCCCGCCCTCCCCCTCCCCACCCGCGCCACACTTGGAAGGCCGACTGAGGCCGCCATGCTGAGTGCGGCCGCGCCTTAAAGGGCCTCACACCGCTTAACGCAAGGACTGCTCCTCCCACTAAAAATGAGAACGGCACATTTATTTTCCCTTTTATTCAACACCCTCCCCGCCCCCAAAGGTCCGACACGAAAGGTCCAGGCCCTCCTCGGGCGCGACAGGGAGCCGATCCTTAAAAGCAAACCCTAAAAATAAATAAGCGGGGTGGGGGGCGGGGGTCTCCGCAGTCCAAGGCCTATGGTCCAATGGCAGTCAGGTCGAATCAATTCACCAGCAGCGAATGCTCCTCCGAGGGGTCCCTGCAAGAGGGAAGCAGGGATGAGGGGCGTCAGTTTTCTCTGGCTTGCTCCCCTTTCCCCAGTCCCTAACCCCCAATCTGAATGGGCCAGACCCGGGACTCGAACCTTCCGCAGCAGCAGAGAAGGCTGCAGGCTGAGCCGCTCCCGCGGCGGAACTTGCCAGAGGTAGGGCTGTCCTGGCACTGTGCGATGTAGGCCTGCAGCTCGCTCTCCTCTGCGCCTGCGCCGCCAGGATGCTGGGGAGAGAAGCTGGGAGGCTCAGCCTGAAAGTAGCTCCCAACCTCCAAGGCCTTTGAAGTCCGCCCTCCCCTCCAGCCATATCTGCATCGCTTCCCACCTCCAGGCCTTTGCACTTGCTGTGCCTGCTCCACCCGTTGTTCCATAGTTTACTTGCACAGAGAGACCTTCCCTGACCCCTGAACGTGGATGCAAGCTGTGTCTTTGCCAGTCTGGTGCCCTCTGCTGTGGGCCCAGCAGCTGGAGACCTAGAGCCAGGGCTGACACGACCTCGGTGGTCAGAAACCATCCATTGAGAGAGCTGGATGCACGCTGAGCACAGCTGTGGGAGGAGGACCTGAATCTGCCCAGCAGAGTGGATGCATGTGTGTGATGTCTATGTGCTAAGGCAAGACAGGAAGTAGTTCCAAGGGCCTGAGTGAATGTCTGTGGGACAGCTGAATCCATGCATGGGGAAAAGCGGGTGTACCCATTTGCTGGTGACATCGGATGTGGCAGGGGACCAGCCAAGGTTTCCTTCCTCTCACTCAGCCTCATGGAGGGACCATCTTTTCTCCAAGTTTTTTCAGGCGACTAGACCTTTGCTTTAGCTATTCCTTCCCCCTGGGTGCACTGCCCCTGGGCTCGCAACTCTTTGGTCTAGAGACGATGGAAGTGTCCAATATCTATGCTGTCCAATATGGCAGCCACCAGCCACACTGGCTTTTGAGTACTGGATACACGATGGTGCGAGTCAGGGACTGAATTTGTAATTGTGCTTCATTTGAATAAAATTTTTTAAAAATTGTTTTGTTTTTGAAGCAGAGTCTCGCTCTGTCGCCCAGGTTGGAGTGCAGTGACTTGATCTCGGCTCACTGCAACCTCTACGTCCTGGGTTCAGGCAATTCTACTGCCTCAACCTCGGGAGTAACTGGGATTACAGGCGCGTGCCACCACATCCGGCTAATTTTTTGTATTTTTAGTAGAGATGGAGTTTTGCCATGTTGGCCAGGCTGGTCTTGAACTCCTGACCTCAGGTGATTCACCCCCCTCTCGGCCTCCCAAAGGGCTGGGATTACAGGTGTGAGTCACCGTGCCCAGCTGGAATTAAAATCAAAATTTAAATAGCTGCAAAGGGCTAGAGACTAGTGATGGATAGAACATTCTAGAAGCTCTCCTGGACCCACTCTCATACCAACCTAAAACAGGAGTCCCTCTGTAACCTTCCACTCTTCCATCATACCTGTTACAAGTAGGTCATTGGTCATGGAATGTTTGTTCCTGTGCCATCCTTGCCCACAGGCCTCGGACAGATCATGCACACCTGATTTCCCTGGATGCCCAGAACCCAGCACAGATCTTGGCCCTTAGATATATTTGCTGAAAGAATCCTATCTACCTGCCACTTCCGCATCCTGCTGTGTCCCCTGACCCTTGCAGCTTGCAGGGAAACCACTGTTCCCAGCCACCCTACTAAACAGAGGACAGAGGGGTTAGGAGCATGGCTTCTGGAACCAGACAGTCCTGGGTTGAGCCCAGTTTTACTGCTTGGAAGCTAACCTGGGTCAGGCACGGTGGCTCACGCCTGTAATCCCAGCACTTTGGGAGGCTGAGCGGGGTGGATCACCTGAGGTCAGGAGTTTGAGACCAGCCTGGCCAACATGGCAAAACCCCATCTCTACTAAAAATACAAAGATTGGCCAGGCGCGGTGGCTCAAGCCTGTAATCTCAGCACTTTGGGAGGCCGAGACGGGCGGATCACGAGGTCAGGAGATCGAGACCATCCTGGCTAACATGGTGAAACGCCGTCTCTACTAAAAATACAAAAAACTAGCCGGGCGAGGTGGCGGGCGCCTGTAGTCCCAGCTACGTGGGAGGCTGAGGCAGGAGAATGGCGTGAACCTGGGAGGCGGAGCTTGCAGTGAGCCGAGATCCGGCCACTGCACTCCAGCCTGGGCGACAGAGCGAGACTCCGTCTCAAAAAAAAAAAAAAAAAATACAAAGATTAGCCAGGCATGGTGGCGGGCGCCTGTAATCCCAGCTACTCAGGAGGCTGAGGCAGGAGAATCGCTTGAACTGGGGAGGCAGAAGTTGCAGTGAGCTGAGACTGCATCATTGCATTCCAGCCTGGGCAACAGAGTGAGACTCCATCGCAAAATAAATAAATACATGAAGCAGCTAACCTTGGGCGGGGTCAGAGGGAGTCAGGGGCATGGCTGGGGGCTGGGGTCAGGGTGGGGGTTTTAGAGGTCAGCTGTAGGAATGGGGCCAACTGAGGGTCGCCATGTTAATAGCAAGGTCCCAGGGTCAATGACAAGGTCATTGAAACGCTATGACTTAGCCGGGTGCAGTGGCTCATGCCTGTAATCCCAGCACTTTGGGAGGCCGAGGCGGGTGGATCACGAGGTCAGGAGATCGAGACCATCCTGGCTAACATGGTGAAACCCCGTCTCTACTAAAAATACAAAAAACTAGCCGGACGTGGTGGTGGGCGCCTGTAGTCCCAGCTACTTGGGAGGCTGAGGCAGGAGAATGGCGGGAACCCAGGAGGCGGAGCTTGCAGTGAGCCGAGATCGCGCCACTACACTCCAGCCTGGGCAACACAGCGAGACTCCGTCTCAAAAATATATATATATATATATATAAAAATTAGCTGGACATGGTGGCATGTGCCTGTAATCCCAGCTACTCAGGAGGCTGAGACAGATTTGCTTGAACCCGGGAGGTGGAAGTTACAGTGAGTCAAGATCGCACCACTGCACTCTACCCTGGGTGACAGAGCGAGACTCCGTCTCAAATAAACAAATAAATAAACTCTATGACTTGGTTGCCCTGTTGGTAAAGGCAGACTCAGGCCCCCTCCTGGCCCAAGCCCACCTTGACAATGCTGAGATGCCATCAGCTCCCCCTGCGCCCCCAAATTCCGAACCACCCTCTTTTTGGTTTCATAGAGTCTCCCATAGTCTCTCCTGGGGTCTTCTCTGTTCACCCCGCGGTGTCCCCAAGACGCCCTCATGGCAAACTCCAGGGGACCCAGAGCCTGAGCTGGGGGCTGGGCGCGTGTGGCTAACCTTGATGGTGTCGTAGGCACCGGTGATGAGCGCGATGAAGAGGCTGAGCACCATGTAGATGAAGAGGCTGATGAACGAGTACAGGTAGAGCTGGGAGAAGAGCCACACCAGGCTGCTGCGGCCCTGCTGAGCCTGCATGGCGGCGAACGTCACGAACATGTCGTCCCCGTTGATGAGTGAGAACAGGCACTCGGATACCATGGAGAGCGAGCGGAACTGTCAGAAGGGCAGCGGGGTCAGAGGGAGCCAAGGCATGGCCAGGAGCCGGGGGCTGGGGTCAGGCTGGGGTCCCATGTGAATGGCCAGGAGCTGGGGGCGGGGGTCAGGCTGGGATCCCACGTGAATGGCTGAGTCCCAGGCTCGGGTCACCTTGTGAGTGGCCAGGTCCCAGGCTGGGGTCACCATGTGAATGGCCACGTCCCAGGCTGGGGTCACTATGTGAATGGCCACATCCCAGGCCAGGGTCCCATGTGAATAGCCAGATCCCAGGCTGGGGTCACCATGTGAATGGTCAGGTCCCAAGGTCAATGACAGGGACACAGGGCCGACCTAGGGTCTGGGTAGATAGAGCAGAAGGGGAGTAATCCAGGTCGAAATAGGGTCATCAGCAACTGTGACACAGGGTCAGTGTCACGGTCACCAAGGACCACAGGGGACAGTGGACAGACTCCCAGCAGTCACCGAGGGGTCATCTGGGGGTCACAGTGGCAATGACAAGGTCACGGGGTCGATGTCAGAGACATCAGGGGTTAGACGTACCTTCACATGATAGGGTCCCAGCACGATCCAGCCACAGAAGCAGTAGCCCAGGTAGATGACGGCGACGCAGCAGCAGAAGCGCATGACGCTGGGCAGGGCCACCCGCAGTGTGGCGATGAGGATCTGGGTTGGGGCAGAGGGAGCCTCGTTGAGGGTGTGGTCACAACTCAGGTCAGCTGTGGGCACCCAGATGGGGGTGAGAGGGGCAGGGCCTTGCTGAGGGCACAGCACGTGTAGCCATGGGAGCCAGTGGGTGCCTAGAGGGGTCGTGGCCGTGTCTGAGGGGGTCTGAGGGCACCGCATGGCTGGACTCAGCAGGGTGGGCACACAGGAGCAGGCTCCCGGGGCCCCGCCCAGGTACAGCGACAGATATATCTGGTGTGGGCAGGTAGGAGGCGGCGGCTTGCAAGCGGTCATTGGTCGGGGCTGGTGAGTGCTGGGTGTGTAGGGATTTATTTGGAGGGTGTGGGGTAACCACGCGGAAGGCCCAGCCATGTGTGAAAAGCTCACGTTGTAGTTGTGGAAGAAGGTCAGGTAGCGGATCACGCCCACCCACACCAGCAGCGTCGAGGTGCCCAGGAGGATGCTGCAGACGTCGTAGCTCGCCAAGTTCTGCGGGTGGGAGCTGCATCAACCTACCTGGCCCAGCCCTTCCTTTGGAGGGCCTGGGGGAGGATATAGCCCTGGATAGGCACTGACAGCAGGGATGGGACCTGGGGCCCAGGGTGTGGGCAGGATGTACCTTGGCCTCGATGCCAATCTTCATGATGGTGCCCGAGATGGTGAGCACATCACTGGTGACCAGCAGGATGTACCAGCCATTGACAAATTCCAGCCGCTCCCACAGGCTGATGACCCGTCTCCGCTGCCGCCACATGAACCCCACAAACTCCTGCAGAAGGCAGGCAGGGTGAGCGCCTGACCAGGCACAGGACCCTCGAAGCCCGGGCTTTTATCGCCCCAGGGCAAGGCGGGGAGGACACCGGCACACGTGACGCAGGAGGCTCACGTTCTGCAGTAGGAAGCCTCGAAGGAGCGAGCGGGCGCAGAGGAGGAAGGACAGGGAGCAAGTGAGGATGACCACCACGTCAAACAGGAGCCGGAAGCTGTTGTCTCCTGTGGGGAGGGCACAGCAGGTAGGGCCAAGGGTGGCATGGAGCCTTGGGAGGCCAGCGCTGGTGCCAGGCCAGGCTGGAGACCTAGGGGGCTGCATGGCTGGTTTTGGTTGGTCAGTGGGGCTCAGGGCTTGTTTGGGGTGAGTCAAGAACCCCGGTCAGCTCTGGTCTGGGGCTTGGAGGATCCCAGGACAGGACAGGGTCCCTGATCTGTGCTGATCTGAGGCTCAGCGGATTCCTAGGGAGGTCAGGGCCCCAGGCAGCGCTGCTCTGGGGCTTAGGGAATCCCAGGACAGGCCAGGGCCCCTGGTCAGCGCTGGTCTGGGGCTCAGGGGCTCACCGTGCCGGAAGACACTGGGGTGCTTACACTCCTGGATGTGGGCCTGGGTCTCCAGGCTGATGGGGATCCGCCCACTGTGTGCTTTGTTGTCAAACGTGATCTGTGGGGGCCAGTTGGGGGCAGAGTAAACCTTGGCAGCCCCAAGCCCCAAGGTCCACATGACAGGTGGCCTGACAGACCCCGGGCTCCCTCCCTCATCACCCACACGCTTGCCCTTGGCCAGTGCTTCCAAGACACTCCCTGACCAGGTCCCTGCCCTGGAACTCAGGAGCCCTGTGGGTCCCCGGGGGGCCTCACCAGGACGCTGAAGGTATAGCAGTCCGGGATCTCATTATTGATGAGGCTCTGGAGGTTAATGGTCTTCAGTCGGAAGTGGATGGTGACATTGACCAGCCTAGGCAGGAGGCTCGGGTGAGGGGCAGGGGCGTCTTCGGGTCCTTTCCGGCCCCAAGTGCCAGCGCCCCTGCCACACGCTGACTCTGCAGCTGGTAGGGGAAGTGCTCACCCAGAAGGTGCCAGCGCAGGCGGGGGGCCCTGTCCCCACCTTAGGGAAGTAGCTACTGGGGTGAGAGTGCCTAGTGTGCTGCCTCCCCCACCCTGGGCCCCCCTCGAGCGAGCAGGCAGTACTTGTGGAATTTGAGCGTGAGGTTCTTGTAACTGGAGCTGCCTTCCAAGAGGGCGAGATCGTCACTGGGGGACGGAGGGGGCCGCTCGGGGGGATCCACCTGGATGCAGTCTGAGGACAGGGAGTCAGGGAAGGGCCTCAGGGGGCAGGGGAGGCCAGGCTGGTCTCCCCGGAGTCCCCAGTGGCCTTATTTCCTGTGCTTCCCCAGGGCTGGGTCATTCCTACAGGCCTGGCACTCTCTGGGCCCACGGATATTTACTGAATGAACCATATTAAGAAATAACACCTGGTGCTTCCTACGTGGCAAGAGTCACATTCACACTAAGCAGACTTTTTTTTTCCTCTTTTTTTTTTTGAGACAGGGTCTCACTCTGTCACCCAGCGTGGAGTGCAGTGGCATGATCATAGCTTACTGCAGCCTCAATCTCCCGGACTCAAGTGATCCTCCTGCCTCAGCCTCCTGAGTAGCTGGGACCACAGGGGCACGCCACCACGCCTGGCTAATTTTTTTGTATGTAGAGACAAGGCCTTCCTACGTTGCCCAGGCTGGTCTCAAACTCCGGGCCTCAAGCAGTCCTCCCTCCTCAGCCTCCCAAAGTGCTGGTATAGGCGTGAGCCACCGTGCCCAGCCACAGCTGTTGATTTTAATCCCAGCAGCTCAGGCTCCAAACAGCGAAGCCCCACCCTGCCCACTCACCAGTAACCACCATTGGATCAATGTCAAATGTGTCGTTGGCCGGGTCCACATGGCCTCGGTGGTAGTACCGCTGGCAGAGAGCAAGCCCTGAGCCATTGGTCCAAGGGTCACCCCCGCCATGGACATACGCATACCGGCCCAGTGACACGTCAGGCAACGCCAGGTACTGTGGGCAGAGAAGGGGAGGGCCTGTGAGTCCGGCCCACTCTCTGCAGCCTGCGCACCTGCACCTGCCCGCCACCTGCACCTGCCCGCCCACCTGCACCTGCCCGCCCACCTGCACCGCTCCCATTCTGCCCCTATGTGGTATCCAACACTCAAGCTCATGTAAGCCCCACCTGCCCACTCTGTCTTTCGTGAATCAGCACTCAATATGGTCTTGATCCTGCCTCAGGTTGGTTTGGAGACAGGTAGGGCCGTTGGTTGAGGATGCTTTGTGGACATGCATGGGTGAGTGACCGTCGGGCGGCGGGTGCGTGGGCCGGGGGGCCTGTGATCCGGCCCTCTCTGCAGCCTGCGCCACCTGCACCACCCGCCACCTGCACCTGCCCGCCTGCACCTGCCATACCTGCACCTGCCCCACCTGCACCTGCCCGCCCACCTGCACCTGCCCGCCCACCTGCACCTGCCCACCCACCAGCACCTGGTCCACAGCATGGAAGATGGCCTGGTACAGCTGCTCCCGCGTGTAGGCTGCGAAGGTGTCATCCGCCCCGTCCGAGTAGCCCAGCAGGAAGAGGTGTCGGAAGGCAATGGTGTTCTCTTCCCGGAATGTCACAGCCAGCTGATTACTGAGCCCAAACAGGATGAGCTGGGGAGAGGGTAGCGGAGGTTGGCATGGCTAGGATGGGGATTGGGGGATATCTCCCTCGGGGCACTGGCAGAGGAAGAGGACAGGGAGGGCCCTAGAGATGTCCACTGGTGGGGGCAGGGCCCTGCTAACTTGGGCCACAGACACAGATTTCACTTGTGCATTTCTTTGCTTTAATTTCACCCCAACTCCTGGCATAAGCTCCATATCACGCCGACCACTGTGTCCTCCCCCATACATCACAGGATGGGCACTCATATATCTCACTGCAGGGACTAATGTCCATTAAATGTTTACTGGATGTCGGATTCTGTGTTAAACCCAAACTCTCAGGGTAAGTACCATGACTGGATTCCTTTTCTTTTCTTTCTTTCTTTCTTTTTTTGTTTTTTGAGACGGAGTCTCACTCTGTCGCCCAGGCTGGAGTGCAGTGGCACGATTTCGGCTCACTGCAAGCTCCGCCTCCCGGGTTCTCACCATTCTCCCACCTCAGCCTCCCGAGTAGCTGGGACTACAGGCACCTGCCACCACACCCGGCTAATTTTTTGTATTTTCAGTAGAGGCGTGGTTTCACCATGTTAGCCAGGATGGTCTCGATCTCCTGACCTCATGATCCGCCCGCCTCAGCCTCCCAAAGTGCTAGAATTACAGGTGTGAGCCACTGTACCCAGCCTTTTCTTTTCTCTTTTTTTTTTTTTTGAGACAGAGTCTCACTCTGTTGCCCAAGCTGGAGTGCTGTGGTATGATCTCAGCTCACTACAACCTTCACCTCCCAGGTTCAAGAAATTCTCCTGTCTCGGTCTCCTGAGTAGCTGAGTTACAGGCACCTGCCATCACACCCAGCTAATTTTTGTATTTTCAGTAGAGACGGGGCTTTGCAATGTTGGCCAGGCTGTCTGAAACTCCTGGCCTCAAATGATCCGTCCACCTCAGCCTCCCAAAGTGCTGAGATTATAGGCATGAGCCACCATGCCTGGCCAATTGGGTCCCTTTTCCGAGGAAAAATTAGAGGCATGGTGACACGCTAAAGTCAGCCCAAGACATGAAGCAAGCACTTAGAGCAGTGGTTGGGTCTGATTCATCCTGGGGCTCCCAGAGCCCAGCACAGGGTCTGGCATGGGGGGAGGGAGAGCCAACTGTCTGTGCAGCCATTGGGTCAACATGGTGTCAGACTGCATGGGTTCAAATCCCAGCTGCCAATGTTCTGTTGCTGTGTGACTTTGGACAAGTCTCTTAACCTCTCTGAGCCTCAGAGGTAGCTTTTTTTTTTTTTTTTGAGACAGAGTCTTGCTCTGTTGCCCAGGCTGGAGTGCAGTGGCACGATTTCAGCTCACAGCAACCTCCACCTCCCAGTTCAAGCGATTCTCCTGCCTCAGCCTCCCAAGTAGCTGGGATTACAGGCACCTGCCACCATGCACGGCTAATTTTTTTGTATTTTTAGTAGAGCTGGGGTTTCACCATGCTGGCCAGACTGGTCTTGAACTCCCAGCCTCAAGTGATTACTGGCCTCAGCCTCCCAAAGTGCTGCTTTCAGACTCTTCTTCAAGGAGCACAGCAGCCACAGGTGGCCTTCGGCTGGGGCCCCTGCTTGGCTGTCCTCACCTGCACCGTGACCACCAGGATCTTGACCACCTGCAGCATCAGCTTGCAGGGCTTGCGGCCCTTGGCTCGAAACTTGTCACAGGGACTCATGAAAAAGTATTTGAGACGACGGCGAAGGTCTTCCTCTTCTGGGGGTGTCGGAGGGGCCGGCGAAGGCCCCACCTGGGTCCCATACCCGGGGTTGGGGGTCAGAAGCCGCTCGGTCTCTGTGGGAATAGGAGAGGGTGCTGGGGTGAGGGCTGGGCAACTCCCCTTTTCCCCTTTATCCAACCAGGAAGGCAGCACACACCCTATCTTCATGTTCCCATGCTCCTGCCAAGGAAGAGTTCTGAAAGGTCTAAAGAAAACCAGAAAACCTGCAACGTTGTCTGTATCTAAGCACCAGTCCTGCTCAGAGGTTATGAGCTGGGGTTCAGGAGGTACAGGGCCTGGGCTGATTCCTGCTCCTCCTGCTCACCAGCTCTCTGAGTCTCAGTTTCCTCATCTGCAAAATGGGGCAGTAATCATGTCTCATGGGAACGCTAAGGACTGGATGCTTATGAAGCATTGATCACAGGGGCTGGTCCATGGTGAACGTCAGAACGTTTCATCAATGTTCTCGTTATTGATCTGTGGGGAGAGAATGAACTGCTCCCACCGGCTTTTCACTGGGCATCCAAGGCTCCTGGGCTCATCCCAGCTCCAGGTTCCGGACATGAGCATAGAACTCAGCCTGTATTCTAGGTTTGTCTGAACAGATACCCAAAAGATGACCTCTGGGTTCATTATAACCTGGCCCATCAGCTGACACTCTCAGAAGCCAAAGACCTGGAGAAGGGGTAATTGACAATGTAAGTAATAATAATGGAACACATTTGCTAAAGACTCATTTTATCTCCCTGAAAAGCACCAGCTCCTGGAAATCATGCAGCCCTAGCATCAAATCCTAGACCTGCCACTTTCCAGCAGGGTGACTCCAGGTACCTCCCTGAGCCTCCATCTCCTCATCTGAAGAGTGGAAATTTTATAAAGGCTACCCCTTGGCTGGGCTCAGTGGCTCATCCTGTTATCCCAACGGCTTTGGGAGGCCAAGGTGGGATGATTGCTTGAGCCCAGAGTTTGAGACCAGCCTAGGTTATACAGCAATACCTCCCTCTCTACAAAAAAAAAAAAATTTAAATAGTCAGGTGTGGTGACGGCTCATGCCCGTAGTTAGTAGCTGGGACTCCTTCTGCCTGGGAGGCTGAGTTGGGAGGTCACTTGAACCCAGGAGTTCAATGTTACAATGAGCTAGGATTATGCCACTGCACTACAGCCCGGGTAACAACAACAAAAAAGTCTCTTAAAAAAAAAGTCCACCCTCTCCCTGAGCCCTGAGGTTGAGATCCTGAAGCTGCTCTGAGAATTCAGTGAGACACAGCAGATAAAGACCCCTTCAGCAAACACAAGCTGTTCTAATCACTGTTTATTTTTTTTTTTTTTTTTCAGCCTAACTGTGAGATCTAAGGTTTCAGCAACTGCTGGAGTCAAAACCGGTCACAGTAGCCCAGAACTGTCCCTGTCACACCTCCATGGGGATGTGCTTTCTAGGGCCTGGCCCCCTGCCTAGCAAAGCTGTCAGGATAAATGTGTGCACTGTCAGAACCTCCCATGCAGAGAGGGACAAGTTCCCGGCCCCTCCCTTTGTAATGGGATGCTGCTGTGGCTGTTTACCACAAAGTCAGAGAGCAGGGCCCGCCTACAGAGCTGAGATTACAGCTAATCCACCCCAGACCCTACTAGCTGGGACACCGGGACACCTATCAGGTAGGGGTCCCCAGCTAGCTCCAGAAGGGGAAGCTAACACAAGGGGTCTTCCTCTAGCCTCCCCGAGGAGGGGTGGCATGAGAATTGGCTGGAAGCCCGAATTTAAGAAGGCTGCGCTTCCCCCGGTTTGGAAAGCTAAAACTGAGTTAATCTTCTGGGGGCAATCCCTCCAGCTCTCCCCGCTTGAGTTTAGGTAAGCTGAGCATTTGTCTCCTGGAATCGGGAGGGGAAGGCTGGGAGTCTCACGCGCGGGTTGGAGAAGTTGGTGCCCGCTGTCTGAGTTCCAGCCGAAGTTGAGCAATCGGAACCTAGGCTCCCAGTGGAAATCCCAGGAACCTCGCCGCCCCAAAGGGAGAAGCTGGCGGCCCGGCGCGATCGCTGCCTGAGTTTGGGAACCCAGCAGAGTCTGGCTTCAGGAGGGAGAATCGGAGAGGCTGGTGCCCACCCACCGCCCAAGTTCTAGGAGCCGTCTGCCCATTTCTCCACCGTGGGGAGGCTGAAAAGTCAGCGCTGGAGCTTAGAAAAAAAGAGACTGGGAGCTCCGCCGCCCCAGGTCGGAGAAGCAGCCCGCCCGCCTGAGTTCCGGGCCCCACGGTGCCGCCCGCGCCCTCACCTGAGCCGCGCGGACCCGCCGGGTCTGTCATGCTGGGGCGGGCGCGCACGACGCAGGCGGGTACCGCGGGGCAGCCTGGGTCCGATCGCCCGCCGCTGTCACTGCGACCTCGCTCCCTCGCGGCGCGGCTTCAAACCCTCCGGCATCAGCTGATCAGTGCCTCAGTCACGTGACCCGGTAGCCCAGAACCCCTCACGTGACCGCCTCTGGTCCCGCCCCTTGCGCCACGACAACGCCTGCCGGAACAGCGCGCATGCGTGCCTCAACCGGCGCCCTCTGGGTCGAAGGCAGTCGCCAGGTCCTAGCGCCGCCGTGCTCTGGGTGGCGGGGGATGGGCTGACTCTGAGCTTGGCAGCGACGAGCTCCGCCCTGGCTCCCGGCCGTGCCCCGAATCCGGTGCCAGGCTCGTGACTTCCATGTCCAGAGCTTGACCCCTTATTCTCGTTGGTGCCTGGTGATGACCCTGCGTACTATCTCAACGCTGTCTTCCTCTTTCTCCCAGAAACTCCTTTTACCCTTCTCCTGCGGATCTTCAGCAAACACGATTTCCTAATTATGTATCAAATAGAACCACTTATCCCCACCCCTATGGCCCCCAGCCCAGAGTCTTCCAACATTCCTGGCCTGGATCTTTGCAGCAACCTCCTCCCCTATCTCAGCCTCCCTCCACTCCACTCTCTACCCAGCAGCGAGAACCTGCCCTCGGCTTCCCATTGCTCTGGACTGACAGGCAGAGTCCCCACTCTTGTCTATCAGGGCCCTCTGATTTGGCCCCTACTTCCACCTAAAGCTCATCTTTCTATAGCCCCAGAGCCTTTGCAAACTTTTGCCCTGGAGCGTAATGGTTAAGAATTTGGACTCTGGAGGGCAATTGGGATTTAAATCTAGGCACTGACAAATGCCACTTCTACATCTTCCAAAGTCCTTTCAACTCCAAGCTGAGCGCAGTGGGTGGTGGCATGCACCTGCAATCCCAGCTACTCGGGAGGCTAAGGTGGGAGGATCACTTGAGCCCAGGAGGTCCAGGTTGCAGTGACTACGACCACACCACTGCACTCCAGCCCGGGCAACAGAGCAAGACTGTCTAAAACAAAACAAAACAAAACCAACAAAAAATATATATATGTGCCTCAATTTTCTCATTTGCAAAATGCGGAGATTCAGTCAAAGTCATCTACCTCCTGGGGCTGTTGAGAGGATTAAATGAGAGAATGCAAAAGCTATTTCATAAGGCTGGGCAAACAGTACTGATTATTAAATTAGTGATTATTGGGATTATAAAATCCCTTGTTGAGAAAACTGCCTACCATTTATATCAGAAGTCTTGTTATGCTTCTCCTAGAATATGCCATACCCTGTAATTATTTTTTAAGTATTCTGGATTTAATATCTGCGAGCTCCGTGCAGGTCGAGGCCATACTTATCTTGTTCCCTGCTGAGACCCCAGCAATCCAGAGATGTTTGTTGATTGCATAAATGAGCAGCCTCTTTTTGTCCACTTGTGTGCCTACTGTGTGGGCTTTGAAGAGCAAGGGGTAAGTGAGGGGAACAAAGAGTGGTGACTAGTGGGATGGACCAGGATGAGGCATTGTGGGTTAAACTGGAAAGTCTAGCTGGTGGGACTCCAGGGCCTAAGAAGGAAGCCAGGACACTGGAGCTCCAGATTGTGGCTGGCCCTGGCCACAATGTCCCATCTCTGGAGCAAGGGGCTGTGCTCAGAAAGAAAGCACAAAAGGCAAGCCACGACACAGAAGCCGGAGGCAGTGGGAGGATTTTACTAACTGCACAACACACAACTTCCCCAGGCCCCCGAGGATGCCCGAGTCCCCTTCAGCCATCAGGCCCCAGCAGTGCCCCTTGCTCCTGTACCCACTCTGGACTCTCACCGGTAGGGAGGGCTGGGCTGACAGTGTCACCAGTGGGAGAGCAGGGGTCAGGGTGGGACACAGGGTTGGGATCAGGGCTGGGCACAGGATCAGGGTCTGGGCTGGGCGCAGGATCAGGGTCTGGGCTGGGCACAAGGTCAGGACCAGCGTCGTGCCCAGCCTTCGGGTCAGAAGATTCCACAGGAGTAGGGCTGGGGGTGGATCTGGAGCCGGGGAGGGGTTTGGAGCTGGGATCCGGCAGAGTGCCCGGCCCAGAGCCAGGGTCAGGGCTACGGCCAGAGCTGGTGCCGGAGCTGAGGCCCAAGCCAGAGCCGAGCACAGAAACAGCATCAGAACCCAGGAGGGAGACCTGCCCCGGCCTCATCATGGATGCAGGGCTTAGGCCAGGCCCTAGGCCCAGGCCGGCGGCCGCTGCTGCAGCTGCGGCAGCCGCGGCAGCTGCAGCAGCGGCTGCACCCTCATGCACCCGTTTGTGCTTGGTGAGGCTGGAGGCCTGGCCAAAGGCTTTCCCGCAGAGCTGACAGCGATAGGGCCGCTCGCCCGAATGCACGTGCAGGTGCTGGAGCAGCGCTGAGCTCTGCCCGAAGGCCTTGGAGCAGTGCGGGCAGGCGTAGGGCCGCTCGCCCGTGTGGATGCGCAGGTGGTGTTGCAAGTTGGAGCTCTGCCCGAAGGCTTTGCCGCAGTGGGGGCAGCGGTAGGGGCGTTCGGCCGTGTGTGTGCGCTGGTGCTGCAGTAGCGCCGAGCTCTGCCCGAAGGCCTTGCCGCACTGCGGACACGGGTAGGGCCGCTCGCCCGTGTGCGTGCGCAGGTGTTTGAGGAGCGCAGAGCCCTGGCCGAAGCCCTTGGCGCACACCGGGCACTTGTGGGGCCTCGGGCCGCCGTGCGTGCGCAGGTGCTGCGCCAGGAGCGAGCCGTGCCCGAAGGCCTTGCCACACACCGGGCAGTGGTGCGGCTTCTCCCCGCTGTGGCTGCTGCGATGTTTCAGCAGCGTGGAGCGCCAGCCGAAGGCCTTGCCGCAGGCCGCGCACTGGTACGGCCGCGCCCCGGTGTGGATGCCACGGTGCTGCGCCAGGGTGGCACCGTGGCTGAAGGACTTCCCGCAGTCGGGGCAGCGGTACGGCTTCTCACCGCTGTGGGTGCGGCGATGCTGGCTCAGCCCGGAGCTGCGGCGGAAGGCTCGCCCGCAATCCGGGCAGGAGAAGGGCCGGGGCGGGCTGGCGGGGGCGGGGAGCACCGCGGGGCTGGTGGCCAAGACCTGGGGGGTGGCAGTGAGGCCAGGGGAGATGGGGTCCACGTTTGGATCGCCGGGGCTGAGGGTGTCGCTGTTAGGATCGAGAATCAGGGGTACGGGACCAATCACATCTGGATCGAGGTCGAAACTCGAAGACATGGGGTCGGGATCTTGGGGTTCCGAGCCCGGAGCTTCGGCGTCGGGGTCCAGATCCTCCGAGACGGGCTCCAGATCTTCATAGCTGGGGTCCACGTCTTCCGGGACAGTGTTGAGGTCTTCAGGATCAGGCTCTGGGTCTTCAGAAACCGGGTCCAGATCTTCAGGATTGGGGTCTAGGTCCTCGGAATCAGAGTCAAGCTCTTCATAAACGGGTCTCAGGCCTTTGTGGCCTGGGTTCCTGACCAGGACTGAGCGCCGCATTTCAGGCGTGGATGTGCTGGCAGCTTCTGGGGCAGGACCTGCAAGGTCAAGAATAGAGGGTAGAGGGTAGGTGGGTTCTAGGGGAGCGGGTGTGTCTTTTGAAGTCTGGTTAGGGATGAGAAAGGGGACCTGGTTGTGCCCTCAGAACCCACTTTTTTTTTTTTTTTTTTTTTTTTTTTTGAGATGGGGTCTTTTTCTGTCCCTAGGGCTGGAGTGCAATGGCAGGATCTCGGCTCACTGCAACCTCTGCCTCCCAGTTTCAAACAACTCTCCTGCCTTAGCCTCCGGAGTAGCTGGGATTACAGGCGTTCACCACTACACCTGGCTAATTTTTGCATTTTTAGTAGAGATAGGATTTCACCATGTTGGCCAGGCTGGTCTCAAACTCCTGACCTCAGGTGATCCACCCCTTCAGCCTCCCAAAGTGCTGGGATTACTGGCGTGAGCCACCGCGCCCAGCCCCACTTCTTTATTTTTATTTTTTTGAGATGGGGTCTCACTCTGTCACCCAGGCTAGAGTGCAGTGATGTGATCATAGCACACTGCAGACTGGAAATCCCGGGCTCAAGCGATCCTCCCACCTGGGCCTCCCAAGTAGCTGGAATTACAGATACACCACACTCAACTAACTTCAATTCTTTCTTTCGCTTTCTTTCTTTCTTTCTTTCTTTCTTTCTTTCTCTCTCTCTCTCTCTCTCTCTCTCTTTCTTTCTTTCTTTCTTTCTTTTCTTCTTTCTTTCTTTCTTTTCTTTCTTTCCTTCCTTCCCTCTCTCCTTCCTTCCTTCATTCCTTACTTTCTCACTCTCTTTTTTGAGATGGGGTGTCGTTATGTTGCCCAGGCTGGTCTCAAACTCCTGGACTCAAGCAAACCTCTGACCTCGGCCTCAGAAAATGCTGAGATTACAGGCATGAGCCACTGTGCCTGGCCAAACCCCACTCACTTCTGAGCATACATGTGGATGTTTCCCTTGTCTCTGACTGCAGGGAGATTTCTGACTTACCCCAGCCAGGGCAGGGAGTTGAGGGACCCGGGTGGGACATGGTGGGACATGGTAGGACCCTCCCCTTTCAGCCCGGAACCTGGACAGAGGTCATGAGACCCGGCACTAGAGGTTTCTAGTCCCCAACTCCATGGCTCTGCCCCTCTCTCCATCCTGGGCTCCTCTTGTGGGAAGCTGGGGTCCTGTGGAGGAGACAGTCCTAGGTTCCTACCACCTTGCTGGAGGTCCCCACACGGGGAACAGTGTGGGTGTCAGCGTTTTTGTGCTCCTGAGCACATGGCCTGAATTCTTGTCCTATACTTGGGGGTGGCAGCTTAATTTATCAGGGGGAGTTCTGGTAGGGGAGGCCCCCCCTCCAGCAGCAGCATTCTGAGCTCTAGAACCCATGTCTGGGGTATAAGAATGTGCAACAAATAACATCTGACATCCCTCCCAAGTCACTGGGGAAAGACAAGAAGACCCTGGCTTGCCTTCTGGGGAGAAGAAAACCTGCATTCCAGAACTCACAGCGCCAGGTGGGAGTCAGTGTCAAATCCTCTCTCTTAGACAGATCGGGAATGCCCTTTCCTGCAGCCAGATGGTGAGCACGGTAGAGTGATATTTGGGACCCCTCCTGGTGAGGAGGGGTGGGCACGGACACTCATGAACCCCATAGGCAGGAGGGTGGGGACATTATTAGTATACCTGTTTTATTTATTTATTTATGTTTGAGATGGGGTCCCGGTATGGTACCCAGGCTGGACTCAAACTCCTGGGTTCAAGTGATCCTCCCACCTCAGCCTCCCAAAATATGGTGACTACAGGCATGAGCCACCATGCCTGGCCAGTATACCTGTTTTCACTATTGGCTGGAAGGTCCTGAATTTTAACTTCTAGCTGGAGGATGGGCACAAATATACCTGGAGACCCTCTGAAGTTACTGGGGAAACGCCTGAGCCATCTCCTCCCATGGCTGGGACTTGGTGGGTAGTGTCAGCACACTTGTGGCCCTTCCTGCAGGAAGGATCCTGAACTGAACTCCCAGTTTGTGACTGGGGGCAGGCTGGGAGGTAGAGGAACAAAAGCTGGAACCACTTCTGGGGAGCAAGGGGAGCCCAGGATGACCTGCCCGGGGTGGGGATGCCTTGAGCTCCCCACCCATGGCTGGGTATTGAGGTGCCAACAATGAATGATCTGCTCCTGGGAGAAGGTGTGGGGGGACTCTGTGGCTCCCCTTCTGGGGAGGGGAATACACTGAGCCACAACCCCATAGCTGGGAGTGTGCAGGCAAACAGAGCCGAGTTCCTGGACAGGGGGTCCTCAACCCAGACCCATAGTTGGAGAGTGGGGGAAACAATACCTGGGACCCCTTCTGCATTCCTGCGGGGACAGAGGAACTCTTAGATTACCTCCAGGGGAAGGGGTCCCCTCAATTCCCATCTCTTAGCTGGAAGGTGGGAGGAGAAATCACTGTAGTCTTTCCTGAGTTCCCAGGGGTGAGGGCAGGTGGACCCCCTGGATCACCTCCAGGGGAAGGAGCTTCCAGAACTCCAGACCCCAAGACTGGAGGGGGAGGGGGACAATCGCTGGTACCCTTCCTAGGGTCCTGGGGGAAGAGGGACCCCCTAGGTCCCCCTCTTGAGGACAGGGCCTCCTGAACTCCCGACCCCAGGTGGGAGGTGGGAACAATACCGGAGCCCCTCCTCGAATCAGGAGGGGAGGGGGTCCTGGATAGCCTCTTGGGAGGGGGCGTCCTGAGCTCCAGACCCCAGAGCTGGCGGGCGCCCCCCACCACGCCCGACTGAAGGTTCCCAACCTCCGGGGCCCTTTTCCCCGGGCCTCAGCGGCGGGATGGGCGCGCTAGGCCGGGGTGGGCCGCGGGGTCCCCTCCCCATCGCGCCCCCGACCCCCACTCGCCCGGGCCAGGGCCGGCGGCGCGCAGGGCGGGGGACGAATAGAGGTCGCCCCCGGCTGCGCCCCGCGCCTGGAGACCCCCCCTGCCCGTCCGCCCCCCGCCCGGTCCCCCGCCCCGTCCCCAGCCCGTTCGCGGGGACACTCACCCGGCGCCCCTCGCCCCTGCCCGGCCCGCCGCGCCCGCGCCGGCCGCCGGCGCCCCCCGGGCCCGCAGGAAGCCCCCCGCCCGCCAGCCCCGCCGGCGGCCCCCTCGGCCCAGCGGCCCCGCCAGGCGCTCCCGGGGAGCGAGAGGGGCCGGCCGAGGGCCGCAGCGGGAGCTGCTGGGACTTGTAGTTCGCCCGCGCCCGCCGCGGCCGTCGCCATCGCTGCCCCCGCCCCCCGGGCAGGCCTTTGTCCCCGGCCGGGCCACCCCGGCCGCGCGGCCGCGCCTTTGTCTGCACCATGCCCCGCCCGCACGCAGCCCTGGCCCCATCCCTAGTCTCCTCCTGGGCCTGTCTCAGCCCCTCTGTGGCCCTGGCCCTGTCTCTATCTCTCCGTCTCTATCCCTCTCTCTGTCTCTCTCCGTCCCTATCTCTCTGTCTCTGTTCATTCTCTGTCTGCCTCTGTCCCTGTCTTCCCATCTCTGTTCCTTTCTCTGTGTCTCTGTCCCCATCTCTTTCTCTCTGCGTTCCAATCTCTTTGCCTCTGTCGCTTTCTCTGCCTCTCTCTCTATGTCTGTCTCTCTGTCTGTCTCTGCCTGCTGCCCATGTCTCTGACTCTATCTTTGTTCATAAAACTCTACACATGTTGTTCTTGTAGACTTGCAATGCACATAGGCACAGCCAAGCTTCTCAGTTTTGCAATCTAAAAATAAGTCTAGTTTTGCTTAACCTGGCCTTCCTCCAATTTTTCCTTTATGCATGGTGAAACCCGTCACCCTTTCTGGGTAACACCCGCCAAGGCACAGATTTGGGATATTCCTCCCCTAGTGTTTTCAGCCTCCTACCCAGATGGCGGGTCACCGCTGTCCCTGGAGGCCTCCAAGTGCTAGATGTGAGTGACGGTTTCCAGAGAACCTCAGGCAGGGCTGGGAAGGGCTGGGGGCAAACTTGCCTTGGAGACACAGATCCCCAGCGCCAGCCAGGAGAGAGAGTGGAAATCAGCTCCTGGTGGCTGGGCCGCGATGTTCTCCACTAAATATAAACAGTGGCCACAGAATATAAACAATGATGAGACAAGGCCACTCTGTGACCATGTCTGAACCAACATAGAGACATGGGCCCTCTGCAACCACAAAAATGAGTTCTCATCCCCCTCTCCCAGTGAACACAAATGACTGCCACTTCTTACCGACCACAAATCCAACCCAACTTCCATCCTCCCACCTCTGAGATAAAAATCACTGAAATACCTAGTCAGCAAAATGCTCCCAGCTTCCCAACAATACCACCCTAGTAATTCTCTTTAAAACCACCCAATATAGGCTGGGTGTGGTGGCTCACACCTGTAATCCCAACGCTTTCGGAGGCCAAAGGGGGCAGATCATGAGGTCAGGAGTTTGAAACCAACCTGGCCAGCATGGTGAAATCCTGTCTCTACTAAAAATACGAAGATTAGCCGGGCGTGGTGGCGCACACCCGTAATCCCAGCTACTCAGGAGGCTGAGGGAGGAGAATTGCTTGAACCCAGGAGGTGGAGGTTGCAGTGAGCCAAGATTGCACCCCTGCACCCCAGCTTGGGCGACAGAGCAAGACTGCATCTCAAAAACAAAACAAAAACCGAAACTAACAAGTATAAGCCCAAATTCTATAAGATGCTCCTCTGCCCCCATGTCCTCCTTATAGAGACACCCTGTGGTTCCTTCTTCCTTCCTGAACCTTCTAGATGTGTGTTGGACTCATAGCCTGAGACCTGCTTTCCATCTTTCCGCAGAGCCCACAGCAGATCTGCGAGACTGGAGATAACTTCAATTGGATTATGCCCCTAGTTCCTTATCCTGCCACTTCCTGGATGATCCCATTACAAATACTTGTGATGATATCTGTTGTTTCTTTGGCTCAGAATCTAACAGTACTTTCTTTTCCTTTGTGGAGTCCCCTCCACTACCCAGATGGACATGTGACTAACACCCCTTCCCAGTCCCATGTGATCTGGACTCTAATCAAAGGACCCCATCCCCTGGCCACAATAATTAGGTATGGGATGAGAAGGTGACATTGGAGGTTCTCATTCTACCTCTGGGATTATGAGCCACAAGGAGCTCATTCTGTCTGCAGTCACCTTCCCCAGTTGTTCAAAAGAACAGTCTGCAGACTGAGGCCAATATGCACCAAGATGTACAAGTAAGAGTCAGAGAGAGAGCTCTGGCTATATTTGTTGAGCTCCTGGATATAGCTGTACCTGAAGCCAGAGAACTCATTCTTTCCTGTACCACAAACCAACAAATGTTCTGGGTGTTTGAGCTAGTTTTAGTGGATGTCTGTTCCTTGCATCCGTGACAGTCTTGACTAATTTAGGAATTATTACCTGGAAAGGAAAGAGTAATTTTAAAAAATCTTAAAAATAAAACCTTAAAATGTGGAACCAACTAAAGGAAGATGGGGTAGAGAGCCAGGATTGCCACACACATGGACTATAAAGTGAACAGGACACCTTAGATTATGTAATGCACAACCTGTCTAGATGTACACAGGGGCTATGTAAAAGAGCTTTCCCTCAGAAAACTAGAGTTATATGGAAGAAAACCAGCTAGTTAAATTGTTGCCTGGCCAGGCGCGGTGGCTGACACCTGTAATCCCAGCACTTTGGGAGGCTGAGATGGGCAGATTGCTGAGGTCAGGAGTTTGAGACCACCCTGGCCAATATGGTGAAACCCCATCTCTACTAAAAATACAAAAATTAGCCGGGCATGGTGGCAGGTGCCTGTAATCCTAGCTACTCAGGAGGCTGAGGCAGGGGAATCACTTGAACCTCGGAGGTGGAGATTTCAGTGAGCCAAGATTGCGCCACTGTACTCCAGCCTGGGCGACAGAGCAAGACTCCATCTCAAAAATAAAAAAATAAAAAAATAAATAGTAACCTATTTTATCATGGAACTCTAACCATGCGTCTCCTAAGGACCAGAATATTGGAATATAGGGAAGCTTTCTTTCTTCTTTAGAGACAGGGTCTCATTGTGTCACCCAGGCTGGAGTACAGTGGCACAATCGTAGCGCACTGCAGCCTTGAACTCCTGGGTTCAAGCCATCCTCCCACCTCAGCCTCCTGAGTAGCTGGGACTACAGACGAGTAGCTGGGGCCTCAGCCTCCTGAGTAACCGGGACTACAGCCACCATGCCTGCCTATTATTATTATTTTATTTGTAGAGATGGGGTCTCACTATGTTGCCCTGGCTGGTCTCGAACTCCTGGCTTCAGCAATCCTTCCAACTTGCTGGGACTGCAGGTGTGAGCTACCATGCCTGGCCTGGGGCCTGGAGCAGCTTTCATGCAATCTTCAGCAAAGTCTTGCAATAAAGACACAAGTTTCTGGAATGTGTTCCTTCTCAAAGCAGAGACTCTTCTGCTTCATCTTCTGAGATTGTCAGAGCTGAATTTTCTGTCCCAGGCTAAAAGATGAGGCAGATGATGAGGTGGAAGATAAGACTGGGATTATGGGAGAACATCTGACACCCTAAGCTACTCCCAAACACTGAACATTCCTTGTCTACAAAGCTGACGATCACTCTCACTGGGAAGAGCCTATTAGCTGAGCTAATCCACCCTCCAGATTGCAACCTGGGGCAGGACACAGATCTGTCCTTAGGAAACACAGTCAGTTAAGTTTGGGCTCCAGTGCCGTGATCCTGACTGAGTTTGGGGAACTAAATAACCTAGGGGTGGGCTCCTGAGCTGGGCAAGCCAATCACAATATTGTTTTCCTCTAGGCACAGTGATTGGTCCACAACTGGGTGTGTGATTCAAATGGGCCAATCAGCCTGTTCCTTAAATTCCAATGTGGGTCCCGGTGTGGTGGCTCAGGCTTGTAATCCCAGCACTTTGGGAGACTGAGGCGGGTGGATCACTTGAGGTCAGGAGTTCAAGACCAGCCTGGCCAACATGGTGAAATCCCGTCTCTAATAAAAATACAAAAATTAGCTGGGCATGATGGTGCATGCCTGTAATCCCAGCTACTTGGGAGGCTGATGCAGGAGAATCACTTGAACCCAGGAGGCGGAGGTTGCAGTGAGCCAAGATTGCAGCACCGCACTCCAGCCTGGGTGACAGAGTGAGACTGTGTCTCAAAAAAAAAAAAAAAAAAAAAAAAAACAAAAACAAAAACAAAAAAAACAAAAAAACTCAATAGAGGGAGCATATTGGAAAGACCCTGCCCTTCTTTAGGGGCTTAAATCATTAGCATTGGTAAATACTACCAATATCTTCCTTTGCTGCTGCTTGGAGGGACACAGGACTGAGAGATGGCCAGGGAGACAGAGTCCTGATGCAAAATGCCTGATATTAGACCCAATTCCAGACTCAGACCTTCTTGTTTCTCTCTCTCTCTCTCTCTGTGTGTGTGTGTGTGTATTATTTTTGAGACAGGATCTTGCTCAGTTGCCCAGGCTGGAGTGCAGTGATAATAGCTCACTGCAGCCTCAATCTTCTGGGTTCAAACAATCCTCCCACCTCAGCTTCCCAAGTAGCTGAGACTACAGGTGCATGCCACCATGCCCAGCTAATTTTCTAAATGATTTTTAGTGGAGATGAGATCTCACTATGTTGCCCAGGCTGGTCTTGAACCTCTGAGTTCAAGTGATCTTCCCGCCCCAGCCTCCCAAAGTGTTGGGATTGCAGGCATGAGCCACCATGTCTGGCTTTTTTCTAAATCAATAAAATTCCTTTTTTTCACTTGAATCAGATAGAGCTTGGTTTCTGTCGCTTGCAACAAAATGATATAAGACATTAACACATTTAGTCACCATTCATTGGGCTGCAGCCAAGTGCCAGGCCCTCTTCTGAGCATGGTACATGCACCTTTTATTTAATTCCTGTATACACTCTTTGAAACGGGAACTATTGGCATTCCCATTTTACAGAGAGGGAGAGTGAGGGTCAGGGTGCATTCTTGTCTAAGGACAGAAAGGCACGTCTGAATTCTGCTGCTGGGTGATGCTTTCCATTGAGAAAGTTGTTTTCCTTTAAAAATTAATCTTGGTGACCAGGCACGATGGCTCATGCCTGTAATCCCAGCACTTTGGAAGCCAAGGCAGGCAGATCACGAGGTCAGGAGTTCAAGACCAGCCTGAGCAATATGGTAAAGTCCTGTCTCTACTAAAAATACAAAAATTAGCTAGGCACGGTAGCGGGCATCTGTAATTCCAGCTGTTTGGGAGGCTGAGGCAGGAGAATCGCTTGAACCCAGGAGGCGGATGTTGCAGTGAACTGAGATTGCACCATTGCTTTCCAGGCTGGGTGGCAAGAATGAGACTCCGTTTTGGGGAAAAAAAAAAAAAAGAAAAAACTTAGTTTCTTACATTCAATTCTATATTATTTGTCTTAATCCCTAGGCTTTTTGGGGGAGGAAGGGGGTGAGTGGAATATAGGAGGGTTAGTCATAAATCCATAAAATACATCCAGAATCATCCTGATGTAGTGTCTTTCCCCGAGGACTAAACATTTCCAGTACAGTTTCTGTTCTTCCCTGGCAAGCCATCCTAGGGCTGGTCATTTTCATTGTTAGAAAACGCTTCAAGTTGTGCTGAAATCCAGCTCTTTTTAACAGCTATGGACTGTTTTCATCTAATGCCTAAGGCTGTTTTCAACTATTCCAGGCCAGACACGGTGGCTCACGCCTTTAATCCCAACACTTTGGGAGGCCGAGATGGGTGGATCACTAAGTCAGGAGATCAAGATCATCCTGGCTAACACGGTGAAACCCCATCTCTAAAAAAACAAACAAAAAAAAAACACAAAAAAACAAAAATTAGCCGGGTGTGGTGGTGGGCGCCTGTAGTCCCAGCTACTGGGGAGGCTGAGACAGGAGAATGGCATGAACCCGGGAGGTAGAGCTTGCAGTGAGCTGAGATCATGTCACTGCACTCCAGCCTGAGTGACAGAGCAAGACTCCATCTGAAAATAAATAAATAAATAATAAACAAACAAACAAACCATTCCTGGCATGAGGCAGGAAGATAATCCTACAACTAGAGCTACATGGAACTTAAGACCAAATAAACATTCTGAGCTTCCCAGCAGGCAAGGCAAAAAGGGAAAACCTTTCTGTTCTAGTAGTCTGGTCACTAGGCAGACCAGCTTCATCAGAAGAGGATGAGCTTATCACAGTGATTTCCAACCAGGGCAATTCTTTCCCATCCGAAAGATATTTGGCAATATTTGGGACATTCTGTTACAAGTGGGAGGGAGAGGTACTACAGGCATTTAGTGGGTAGAGGACAAGAATGGCACTAAATATCCTACAATGCACAGGAGAGCCTCCAATAAAGAATGATCTAAGACATCAATAAATGACAAGCCCTGGTTTATCCTGAAGTAACTCAGAGCATGATGCCAAATATCTTTAGAGGACATATTCTACAGCGGGCAGATTCTTGCATGGTCAATGTGGATAATATGTGTGGTCCAAAGGGTCATCTTGTCCCTATAGGATGCAAAGCTGGATTCCCTCCTGCCTTTCTTGCAGAAATGACAACCTGCCCTAGAAGAACTGATGACAACCAGGAAAGGGCTCCTGGGCAGGGTTGAGATTGGCTCAACCTCATGGTTCATTGGATTGGGGTCCTTGGTCTTTGGAGGTTTGATTCTCGGTTCAGGAAAGCCATATTCACTCCTTGAAACTGGACATTCAACAGCCCACAGAGGCAGGCACCTTACCCCAGACAGACCTTACCCCAGACAGACCTTTCTCCTCACCACGCCCTGGACCTTCAAGGTCAGGCGCTGTCCAAGGTACTGGTCCTTACTAAGCCCTGTCACTCACTTGTTGCAGAGCCCCATCACATCCTCCTCCTTTTGACCCTTTACATTTTGTCTCTGGCTGAACACTTACCCCCTTGGACCTGGTAATGTCTTGATGGCTTTTGTCAATTTGCCCCTGGACTCTGCTCTGACCTGGGGGCCAGTTTCCCAGACAGTCAGTGCCCCATTCGGTCTCTAGTCTCTGCCCATGATGGAAGAAACTGCTGGGCTATTGTCAGCTGTGTCCACCCCTCTATGTCCTCTACAGGCCACACCCAGTGTCCCCACCATTGAAAGCTTTTTCCCCACACCCTGGCCTTCCCCACTTTCATCCTCAGAAGGGAAGCTTTCCCTCCATGACCCCAGCCCCATGCACTGAAAAGTGTGGACATTTCTTATGTTTAACAGTCTCATGGGAGAGTTGCTACTTATCCCCATTTCATAGATGAGCAAATTGAGGCTCAGCAGGGTTAGGTGACTTGCCCAAACTACTCTCCAGGACATGGAGGAGTCCGGGTTTGGACTATGTCCATCCAGCCCCCACAGGGATCTATGTTCTCAAGCACACATACCAATATCTCTGTTCAGCACTATAACTTTTTTCATTTTTTCTTTTTTTGAGACAGAGTTTTTGCTCTGTTGCCCTGACCGGAGTGCAGTGGTACAATCATATAGCTCACTGTAGCATCAAATTTCTGGGCTTAAGTCATTCTCCCACCTCAGCCTCCTGAGTAGCTGGGACTACAAACATGTACCACCATGCCTGGCTTTTTAAAATTTTTATTTATTTATTTATTTATTTATTTATTTATTCATTTATTTACTTACTTATTTATTGAGATGTAGTCTCGCTCTGCTGCCCAGGCTGGAGTTCAGTGGTCTGATCTCACTGCAACCTCCGCCTCCCAGGTTCAAGTGATTCCGTGCTTCAGCCTCCTGAGTAGCTAAGATTACAGATGCGTGCCACCACGTCTGGTTAATTTTCGTATTTTAGTAGAGATAGGGTTTCACCATGTTGGCCAGGTTGGTGTCGAACTCCTGATCTCAGGTGATCTGCTCGTCTTGGCCTCCCAAAATGCTGGGATTATAAGTGTGAGCCACTGCGCCTGGCCAATTATTTTTTGTAGAAACAGGATCTCCCTATGTTGCCCAGGCTGATCTCAAACTCCTGGGCTCAAGCAATCCTCCCATCTCAGCCTCCCAAAGTGTTGGGGTTACAGGTGTGAGCCACCGCATCCAGCCTTGACTCCATACTCTTCATGGCAACGCAGCAACAATGGAGTCATCCTTTCCCGTGCAGTCCCTTCCCCCAGCCCCCACCCACCCAAGCATCCTCTCGACTGGCTGACTGATGGGGAAGAGTGGAATGTTGCCAGGGTGGCATTTATTACTGGCTGGGGCACGGGTACATAGGGGGCTGGGGAGCCCGAGGGTCTATCTTCTCCCTGCAGCCGTGCTGGCGAGGCGTGCCCAGGGGCACGAAGCCCTCCTGAGGATTTTTCAGTCTCAGGGCTGCTGGACCCTGATACTTGAAAGGAAATTCATCCTTGTATTGGGTTGAGAAGAAGCGCAGTCCACCCAGTGGGGGCTCCATGTGACTGTACTTGCACTGTGGAGTCAGGGTGGACAGCCTGGCAGGGCAGCCTGGGAGGTGGCTGACCCACTCTGACCACCCCAGGATCTCCAGGCCTAATGAGTCAGGGGGTGGGGCCAGGCAGGGCAGGCTAGTTGGTCAGTGTGGAGCCAGTGTCTGACGAAGGAGGATGGTTTAGACTGGGTAAGAGAGGATAGGGAAAGGGGCAAGGCTATGACCAGAAGGGTGCAGTTATGCAAGGGCAGGACATGGCCACGAAGGGGCCGAATTGTCCAGGGGTGGAGTTTGGGCTCTGGTCAATTTGGGGTGGGATTTAGCCCTTCAGGAGGTGAAGCCAGGGGAAGGGTGGGGCCGGTTAGGGGCAGAGCCAGAGCATCAAAGGCTGGGGAGGTTGAACCCTGGGGAGAGGTGGATAAAAAGGGCCCCAGGCGAGGCTGAATAAGGAGCTGGATAAGAAGCTGGAGAGTAACCAGGGGTGTCCCTGGAAGGACTCCAGGGCTGGGGTGATCCTTGGTGGCTCTGAATTAACCCTCGTCTTGGGTATAACAGTAGTGGTGGTGCAAAGATGCTCCTGAGCTGACCTGGACACGACCCTGGAGAGTGAGCTAGGGATTATCTCTACTTTTTTTTTTTCCTTTTTTTGAGGCGGAGTCTTGCTCTGTTGCCCAGCCTAGAGTGCAATGGCACCATCTTGGCTCACTGCAACCTCCGCCTCCCCAGTTCAAGTAATTCTGTCTCAGCCTTCCGCGTAGCTGGGATTACAGGCGGGCACCACCATGCCCGGCTAATTTTTGTATTTTTAGTAGAGACAGGGTTTCACCATGTTGGCCAGGCTGGTCTCAAACTCCTGACTTCAGGTGATCCGCCTGCTTCGGCCTCCCAAAGCGCTGGGATTACAGGCGTGAACCACTGCACCCGGCCAAGCTAGGGATGATCTTGAGGCTAAAGGGATATTAAGATGCCCCCAGCCGGGCGCGGTGGCTCAAGCCTGTAATCCCAGCACTTTGGGAGGCCGAGACGGGCGGATCACGAGATCAAGAGATCGAGACCATCCTGGCTAACACGGTGAAACCCCGTCTCTACTAAAAAATACAAAAAAACTAGCCGGACGAGGTGGTGGGCGCCTGTAGTCCCGGCTGCTCAGGAGGCTGAGGCAGGAGAATGGCGTGAACCCAGGAGGCGGAGCTCGCAGTGAGCTGAGATCCGGCCACTGCACTCCAGTCTGGGCAACAGAGCGAGACTTCGTCTCAAAAAAAAAAAAAAAAGGTGCCCCCGAGCCTGGATGGTCACTAACTCTGAGGCTGGGTGACAGCATAGTCTTCCTGAGACAACTCTACACCCATGTGGGGGTTGCCTAAGGATGGGTGGCTCCCCTCCCCCTCCCTCACCCGCTGTAGCATCTCTTCAGTCACCAGGGCCGGAGCTGTTCCGTGTGGCTTCAGCATCTTCTGGTTCATGGTTAAAAAATCGAATTCTGGAGATTCAGGTTAGGGAGGCTGAGTGAGGGCTGTGGGCAGAAGCGGGGCTGAGGGTGAAGTTCAAGGGAAGGGTTCAAAAGCCAAGCCAGGCTAGCGCTGATGTTGACCAGGGGAGAAGAAAGGATTAGGAGAGGGGAGGAGGGAGGAGCCAAATAAGGAGGGAGGAGCCAGAAAAAGGGGGGAGGAGCTGGGGAAGAGGGAGGAGCTAGGGAAGAGGGAGGAGCTTGGGAAGCGGGAGGAGCTGAGGAAGAGGGAGGAGGTGGGAGAGGAGGGAGGAGCCAGGGGAGGAGGGAGGAGCTAGAGGAAGGCGAAGGAGCTGGGGAAGAGGGAGGAACTGGGAAACAGGGAGGAGCTGGGAAAGAGTAAGGAGCCGAGGAGAGGAGCCAGAGGAAGGGGGAGGAGCTTGGGAAGAGGGAGGAGCTAGGGGAGGAGGGAGGAGCTAGGGGAAGAGCCAGGAGCTAGGGCACAGGGCTAAGAAGATCAGGGGTGGGACCCGTCCAGATGAGTCTGGGGGCGGGGGCAGGGCCAGGCAGGGCAGGTTGGCGGGTCAGGGGCGGAGCCAGAGTCTGACAATCGAGGAGGAGTTAAGACTGGATAAGAGAGGATGGAGAAGGGGCGGGGCCATGTCCAGAAGGATGGAGTTATGAAGGGGAGAGGTATGACCATGAACGGGCGGGATTATCCAGGGGCAGAGTTGGGGTTCTGGTCAATTGGGGATGGGATTTAGCCTTTTGTGGGTGAAACCAGGGGGAGGGGAGGGCTGGTTAGGGGCGGGGCCCGAACAGTGGCAGTGGGCGAGGCTTCCAGGGCTGGGGCTTCCTGGGGCGGGGCTTCCCGGGGCGGAACTCTATGGGGCGGGGCTTCCCGGGAGCGCTCACCGCCGGTCCCCTGCGGCAGGTTGCTCCGCTGCAAGTGGAGGTTGGGCGCTTTGTGCACTGGCCTCCACTCTGAGGGACAGTAGTCAGAGCCCATGGTGGTCTTGAAGAAGCGTCTGAGTAGCTTTGGCTCCCCTAGGGTCACGTGACTCTGCAGTTTCTCGTGAGGCACGTGGCGGCTGGGTGGCTGTGTCGCGGGTGGCGGCTGTAGGACCACATGGCATTTGAAAGCTCCGGCGTCCCAGAGGTCCCCGGGCCCGGGATCGGGAGGGAGGAGGTGGGCTCTGTGTGACCTTGGACAGCTCCCTCACCCTTTCTGGGCCCCACGTGGTAGCGTTGGGAGGTGGTACTCATCTCATTTTATAGAAGGAGCCACGGAGGATCGGAGTGGTTAAGTGACTCGCCCTAGATCACTCAAGTACATCCAGGAGATTCCTGCATACATATCAAGCTCGCTCCCACTTTGGGACTTCTGCACCTGCTATTTGCTCTGTCTGGGAAGCCCTTTCGCTGCCGCCTTTTCGCTCTTCCTGCTCACCTGGCCGTAGAAGTACTGCATGAAGGTGTCCAGACTGCCGGGGCCGGGGCACCAATTTCCTTTCAGGATGTGCGACTCCGGAGTCTGATCGTGGTGAAGAACAAAAGGTTCTGCCAGGAGCGGAACAGGTGCAGAGCTGCCCTGGGAGGCTGCGGTGGGAGGCGGGGCGGGGCGGGCCGCAGGCTCTCACCTGGCTCCCGGGCATAGAAGTGCTCGGCCTTGGTGGTTCTGTCGTGAAAGAGGCCGTCACCAGGACGGATATTTACATAGTGGATGTGGGCTGCGGCCTGGGCCTTGTCATACCTGCATGTAATGTATTATTCTATCAAGAATAAGGTAAAGTGAGCCGGCGCGGTGGCTCACCCCTGTAATCCCAGCACTTTGGGAGGCTGAGGTGGGTGGATCGCCTGAGGTCAGGCGTTTGAGACCAGCCTGGCAAAAATGGTGAAACCCCATCTCTACTAAAAATACCAAATTAGCTGGGCATGGTGGCACGTGCCTGTAATTCCAGCTACTCGGGAGGCTGAGGCAGGAGAATCGCTTGAACCCGGGAGGCGGAGGTTGCAGTGAGCTGAGATCACGCCACTGCACTCAAGCCTGGGCAACAGAGTGAGACTCTGTCTCAAAAAAAAAAAAAAAAAAAAAAAAAGAAGAAGAAGAAGGTAAAGTGGATCCATCTGAGGCCTTGTAACCTCCAGAAAGGGGGAGGGGATCAGGGTTTCCTAATGACCAAGCCATGGGGCTCTAATAATGGGAGGCCTGGCACAATAGTGCACCTTGGCTACCAGTGACATAGACCTCAAAGGCAGAGTATTGGTCCTAAAGCCCTAAGGGGCTCATACCACATGCTACTGAAAGCCAATTGTCCCATCTGGGTGGGAAGGCAGTGCCCTCCCCACTTTTTTTTTTTCCGAGATGGAGTCTTGCTCTGTCGAACAGGTTGGAGTGCAGTGGTGCAATCTTGGCTCACTGCCGCTTCCGCCTCCCAGGTTCAAGGGATTCTCTTGCCTTAGCCTCCCGAGTAGCTGGGATTACAGGCGCCCACCATTACACCCAGCTAATTTTTGTATTTTTAGTAGAGACGAGGTTTCACCATATTGGCCAGGCTGGTCTCGAACTCCTGACCTCATGATCCGCCTGCCTCAGCCTCCCAAAGTGCTGCGATTACAGGCATAAGCCACCGTGCCCGGCAATGGCCCCTTTATACCTATCTTCAGGCAGACCCTGGGGCCTGTAGGCCTGTTTCTGCTCCGAACACATCGATCCATAGCTGATCTTGCAGTCTCCCAGCTCCACTGTAGAGGAGGCCTGTGGGCAGACAGGGATAGGAAGGCCCAGACCACCCAGCCCCCAATTCTGCCCCCACCTGCAGCCCCAACACAGCCTCAATTTACCCTCTTACACATCAAAGCAGGTGGGCCTGGCAGGGCTTGGAACTGTCTTTGGTAGGAAGTCCCATCTTGTCTCGTGTAGTCCCACTTGAGGGTGTTGGGGCCTCCTTAGGATAGGCAAGAGGGGAGAGAGAAAAGAAGAGAGAGAGAAAGGGGGAGAGGGAGAGAGAGAGAGAGAGAGAGAGAGAGAGACAGAGAGAGACTGAGATTCTCTGCCATCTCAAGCCCTCTGGAAGGAATTCTAATTTTTGCCTGGGAAGGGCAGCTGGGCCATTCTGAACAGTGTAGACTGACAGCTGTCTGGCAAACACCAAAGAATAAAAATAAAATAAGTTATACTAAAAGCCAGGGGCAATGGCTCATGCCTGTAATCCCAGCTATTCAGGCGGCTGAAGTGGGAAGATGGGCTTGAGCCCAGGAGCTGGAGACCAGCCTGGGCAACATAGCAAGACCCTCATCTCTAAAAAATAATGATAAATTTAAAAATACAGCCAGGTGCGGTGGCTCACGCCTGTAATCCCAGCACTTTGGGAGGCCAAGGCAGGTGGATCGCCTGAGGTCAGGAGTTCAAGAGCAATCTGACCAATATGGTGAAATCCCATCTCTACCAAAAATATAAAAATTAGCCAGGTGTGTTGGCATATGCCTGTAGTCCCAGCTACTCAGGAGACTGAGACAGAATAGTTTGAACCTGGGAGGCAGAGGCTGCAGTGAGCTCAGATTGTGCCACTGCACTCCAGCCTGGGTCACAGAGTGAGATTCCATCTCAAAACACACACACACACACACACACACACAAATAAAAAAACAAAAAAAACCCCGATAATATCTACCAAGGACTATATTGAGCCACGCACAGGTTAAGTGCATTGCATCTTCTTCCAGGACCTAGCATCTCTCTCTCCCTCTCTCTCTCTTTTTTTTTTTTTTTTTTTGTAGGTGACAGGGAGTCTCGCTTTGTGGCCCAGGCTGGAGTGCAGTGGCACAATCTCGACTCATTGCAACCTCCGCCTCCCAGGTTCAAGCGATTCTCCTGCCTCAGCCTCCCAAGTAGCTGGAATTACAGGCACGCACCACCAGGTCAGGCTAATTTTTGTATTTTTAGTAGAGATGGGGTTTCACCACATTGGCCAGGCTGGTCTCCAACTCCTGGCCTCAAGTAGTCCACCTGCCTCAGCTTCCCAAAGTGCTGGGATCACAGGCGTGAGCCATCGTGCCCGGTCGCACCTTCTTGGACCTGGTATTATTTCTCTTACGTTACAGTCTCCTTGAGGCTCAGAGAGGTTAAGCAACTTACCAGAAACCACAGAAACTAGGAACCACAACTAAATGTCAAATCAGGGTTTGACAATCCCTGAGGCCATCTTAGGGACATCTGACCAGTAACGTTCACCAGAAGGGTTCCTGGAGTCACAGAATTGGAAAATCACATGAATGGTGGCTACTCTTTGTTGGGTGCTCTCTGCACCAGACACACCATACACATTCAGCTTTACCAGCTCCTGTGAATTGGGCCCTGTGATTGCACCCATTTTGTAGATGGGCAAACTGAGGCTTGGAGAGGTCAACTCGCTCAGTCTCACACAGCTACTAAGGTGGTAAGGCTGGGGGATGTGGGGAGGAAGGTGTGCAGATGGAAAACTTGGCTGATTTGTCTGACCCCAAACTGGCATTCGTGACTTCTACCAACCACGCACCACTCGGGATAGATTCAGAGGATATGTCCACCCTCCTGATGCTGAAACGGACGCTCAAGGTGGTTCCAGGGTTTCTGAGACCTGGTGTGATTGACATTTGGGGCTGGCTAATTCTCTGCTGTGGGGGCTACTCTGTCTGTGGGAGGATACTTGGCAGCGTCTCTGGCTTCTACCCGCTGTCTGCTGGTAGCACCTCTGTCTGTCTTTTTAAATTGTATTTTGTAAGGGCTGGGCTCGTTGGCTCATGCCTGTAATCCCAGCACTTTGGGAGGTCGAGGCGGGTAGATTGCTTGAGCCCAGGAGTTCAAGACCCGCCAGGGCAACATAGTTAGACTGCATCTCTACAAATAAGTACAAAAAATTAGCTGGGCCTGATGACAAGCATGTCTGCAGTCCCAGCTGCCTGGGAGGCCGAGGTGGGATGATCGCTTGAGCTGGGCAGATCCAGTCTGTGTGAGCTGAGACTGTGCCACTGTGCTCCAGCCTCGGTGACAGAGAGACACTTTCTAAAAAAATTTATATATATACACACATTATATATAATATGTATATGTATACATTATATATATAATGTATATATATAAAATTTATATATGTGTATATATTTGTAGACATGGGTCTTGCTATGTTGCCCGGGCAGGTCTCCAATTCTGGCCTCAAGAGATCCTCCTGCCTGGGCCTCCCAAAGCACTGGGACTACAGGTGTGAGCCACGGCGCATGGCCTCGGCCCCCCACCAAGTCTTCCTTCCTTCCTGCCTGCCTGCCTGCCTTCCTTCCTTCCTTCCTTCCTTCCTTCCTTCCTTCCTTCCTTTCCTTCCTTCCTTCCTCCCTCCCTCCCTTTCTCTCTCTCTCTCTCTCTCTCTCTCTCTCTTTCTCTTTCTTTCAGATGGAGCCTTGCTCTGTCTCCCAGGCTGGAGTGCAGCGGTACAATCTCGGTTCACCGCAACCTCTGCTTCCTGGGTTCAAGCAATTCTCCTGCCTCAGCCTCCCAAGTAGCTGGGATTACAGGCACCCGCCACGGCGCCCTACTAATTTTTGTATTTTAGTAGAGACGGGGTTCCTCCACATTGGCCAGGCTGGTCTCGAACTCTTTACTTCAAGCGATCCACCCACCTTGGACTCCCAAAGTGCTGAGATTACAGGTTTGAGCCACCGCGCCCGGCCACCCCTCAAGTCTTGACCATCAAAAGCGTTTCCAGACATTGCCAAATGTTCCCTGGGGGAAGGTAAATGAAGAGTCCTTGCCCCTCTTTGAGAACCACTGGGTAAAGCAAATCGCCCTCTCAGTCTGGGTGCGCGCTCACCGAGGTGGCGACTGGGCGCGCGAGGCTGCGGGCGCGCGTCGTGGGGTGGAAAGAGCGCCTGGTGCGTGGTGGGCGGGATGCGCAACTTGTGGCGGTCGCCGGGCGGTAGGGAGTCGCGGTCGAAGATGAGGCGCGCGCCGCGGATCTGCTCTCGGTCGCGCGCCGGCAGCTCGGGCCAGACGTAGGCGGCGCGCGCGTTGGAGAGGCCGATCCCGGCGTGCGCGTCCTCGTGCAGGTGCAGGTTGCTGGCCTGCATGGCGAGCGTGCGTTCCCGCGCCTGCGCTTGCAGCAGCTCCCACGGCGGCGTCGACGGCGGCGGGAACGCGCGGCGCGCCTCCGACACGCGCTCTTCCCGGTCCCAGCGCGGGTCCGTTGGGAAAAGCAGCGCGGGCGGCGGCTGCAGGCTCGGCGGCTCCCGGGTGGCCGTCGGGTAGGCGAAGTCCCGGTGCGACGTGGTGTGCATGGTACCCTCGTGCAGCCGCAGGTCGGGCCCCAGCGAGAAGTGTGAGGCCTTGAGGAAGTCCTGCTGGGACATCGGGCACAGGCGCGGGCACGGCAGGAGGGCGCTTGCGGCCATCGCGGGACACCAGCCACCTGCGAGAGGGTGGAGATGAGGGACTGAGCAAGTGGCCAGCGGGGCACTTGCCTTTGACTTCTGCCTTTTGACTCCTTTCTGCTCACCAAGCACTGAGCTGGAGGCTGGGGACATCACGGGAAACTGGCACAGCCTCTGTGCCCTCCTCCAGCAAGAGCAGAGATAGAAATAATCATTCATGGCCGGGCTCGGGGGCTCACGCCTGTAATCCCAGCACTTTGGGAGAACCGAGGCGGGTGGATAACCTGAGGTCAGGAGTTCGAGACCAGCCTGGCCAACATGAGGAAACCCCGTCTGTACTATAAATAAAAAAAATTAGCCCATAGTGGTGGTGGCACCTGTAGTCCCAGCTATGGGAGGCTGAGGCAGGAGAACTGCTTGAACCCGGGAGGCAGAGATTGCAGTGAGCCGAGATTGTGCCATTCCACTGCAGCCTGGATGACAGAGCGAGGCTCTGTCTCAAAAAAGAAAGAAAGAAAGAAAAATCATTCATGTGGTGCCTAGTGTAGGCCTGGCACACAATAGGCACCACATAAATCGATTATTTCTGTCACTACTCTAGGCCTGGAGGCCAGCAGGGGTGAGGAGCTAATAGTTCACAAAATAGACCTAGATCCCTGACTTTGTGGAATTGATAATGGGGCGGGAGATGACAGACAATAATGAAAAAATATAACAACAAAATTGAAGAGTAGGTTAGAAGGTAATAGCCGGGTACTGTGGCTCACACCTGTAATCCAGGCACATTGAGAGGCCAGAGGGAGAGGATTGCTTGAGCCCGGGAGTTCAAGACCAGCCTGGGCAATATAGTGGGACCCGTCTCCACACACACACACACACAAATTAGACAAGTGTGGTGGGCTCAACCTCTTGGGCTCAAGCGGTCCTCTCACCTCAGTCTTCTGGGCATCTAGGACTATTGGTTTGCACCACCATGCATGGCCAATTGATTCCTTCCTTCCCTCCCTCCCTCCCTCCCTTCCTTCGAGGCAGGGTTCTCGCCGTGTTGCTCAGGCTGGTCTCAAACTCCTGGGCTCAAGCAATCCTTCTGCCTCAGCCTCCCAAAGTGCTGGGATTACAGGTGTGAGTCACCATGCCTGGCCAAGGGTAGGTTTTAACCACTGCTTCACAAAAGACGTTGAGGCTCAGGGAGGTGGTCATTTGCTTGAGATTTGAACCCAGGGCGACTGATTCTAGAACTTGGAGGATTAATCACTGCATTCTACTGTATGTCTGATATGAGAATCCCCTCTTTCACCCTCAGTCAGTTATCAAGGCCACGGTTTTCTCCTTCTTCCCCTCTGCAGACCCTTTTTTGTTCCTCTGCCTGACTCCAGCCCTGCACCCCAGCCACTGGCCATTTCTGCTTCTGCCACGCTCTTTCTCTCTCTCTCTCCCCTCTTCCTTCCTTCCTTCCTTCCCTCCCTTCTCTCTCTCTCTCTCTCTTTCTTTTTTTCCTTTTCTTTTTGAGACAGAGTCTTACTCTGTCTCCCAGGTTGGAGTCCAGTGGTGCGATCTCAGCTCACTGCAACCTCCACCTCCTGGATTCAACTGACTCTCCTGCTTCAGCCTCCCAAGTAGCTGGGATAACAGGTGCCTGCCACCACACCCAGCTAAGTTTTGTATTTTTGGTAGAGATGGGGTTTCACCACATTGGTCAGGTTGGTCTCGAACTCCTGACCTCAAATGCTCTGTCCGCCTCAGCCTCCCAAAGTGCTGGGATTACAGGTGTGAGCCACCGCGCCCAGACTGCCACACACTTTCTTACTGGTTTTCCCCTCCTCTGCAGTTGTCCTAGGTCCTGCCTATTGTCAATCTCTTCCTGTCTTCACACATTTTGAGAGCTCTCTCCTCTGACCTTCAGCTTCAGACTCCAAGCCTCCCTGGACCCTCCACCTCTGCTCGGCCACCTGGGACTTTCTTGCCTTTGCTTAGATCACAAGTGTCTCCCCTGGTCTCCTCTCTGTCTCCCTTGGAGACCAGCATTCCAAGTTCTCAGGCTCACATCCTGCAGGAAGACCTCCCAGATCACTTCAACCCACAAAACCTGCTTACCTCTACCTATTTAGAAAACATGGACCAGATGGGCACAGCGGCTCAGGCCTGTAATCCCAGCACTTTGGGAGACCGAGGTGGGTGGATCTCCTGAGGTTGGGAGTTCAAGACAAGCCAGACCAACATGGAGAAACCCCATCTCTACTAAAAATACAAAATTAGTCAGGTGTGGTGGCGCATACCTGTAATCCCAGCTACTCCAGAGGCTGAGGCAGGAGAATAGCTTGAATCCGGGAGGCGGACGTTGTGGTGAGCCGAGATCGCACTATTGCACTCCAGTCTGAGCAACAAGAGTGAAACTCTGTTTCCAAAAAAAAGAAAAAAAAGAAAGAAAGAAAGAAAGAGAAAAAAAAAAAAGAAAAAAAATTACAAAAATTAGCCGGGCATGGTGGCATGCGCTTGTAATCCCAGCTACTTAGGAGGCTGAGGCAGGGGAACTGCTTGAACCTGGGTAGTAGAGGTTGCAGTGATCTGAGACCACACCACTGCACTCCAGCTTGGGTGACAGAGTGAGACCCCATCACGAAAACAGAAAGAAAGAAAACATGGATGAAGAGGTGTGTGTGTTTTAATGAAACCACAATTTTTCAGTGTGTAAGTTTGTTCTTTTTTTTTTTTTTCCTCGACTCACTGCAACCTCTGCCTCCCAGGTTCAAGCGATTCTCCCACCTGAGCCTCCAGAGTAGCTGGGACTATAGGTGTCCACCACTATGCCCGGCCAATTTTTGTATTTTTAGTAGAGACGGGGTTTCGCCACGTTGGCCAGGTTGGTCTCGAACTCCTAACCTCAGGTGATCCACCCGCCTTGGCCTCCCAAAATGCTGGGATTGCTGGTGTGAGCCACTGCGCCTGGCTGAGTTTGCAGCTTTTAGAATCAGTTTGCCACCTGAAATAGCTGAGAGTTGAATATGACCTCCAAAATGGGTCATCAGAGAATCCAGCAACTGAGATTACCAGCCAGGTAACGTTGGAATAAGTAATGAAGCTCCCATGAGCCTCAGTCTTCACCTCTGTACATCAGGGACAAAGACAGTGTACCTACCTCAAGGGATGGCGTGTGAATGGATGAGTCTTAGAAAATGCACTTAGCTACAGACTAGATCTTTGGATCTCCCTCTGTCCCTGGTCTCTCAGAGGACCCTCGTGTTTCTTCCCAGGCTGCATCCAAGTGTGGTCTGCCTTGCCCATTGTGATCCCAAGAGCTTCCTTTGTGTAATGGTACTGTCACAATGACTACTCAGCACCTCTAGGGGCAGCCGAGAGGAAAATTACCAGTCAGGCTTGGTGCAAATCCTGCCTCCTTAGAGCTTGAGGAACCCAGGCAAGTAATTGACTTCCTGGAGCCTCTGGGGTTTTTTTTTTTTTTTTTGGTTGGTTTCGTTTTCGAAGTAGGGTCTCGCTGTGTTGTCCAGGCTGGACTTGAACTCCTGGGCTCAAGCGATCCTCTCGCCTCAGCCTCGCAAGTAGGTGGGTCTACAGGTGTGTGCCACCATGCCCAGCTAGAACTTAGGTTTTGTCATCTGCAAAAGGGGATCGATGATGGTAACCACTTCAGAAAGCAGTGTCAGTGTTGAGGACTTGATGAAACAGGCTGTTGGTGTCCATTATTATCATCCTCTGAAGTTTTTCTGTCCCTCTACCTTCTACACACCCCACACAGATCTCCAAGGTGCCCTTTAAAGGGGACAGTCATCCCTCCTCCCCCAGCCAAAGACCACCGGCAATGTACTTGTGATTGAGCACATTCAAGCTTATTACTCATCAAAGAGAGAGAGACAGAGAGAGAAAGAGAGAGGGAGAGAGAGCTCGTACATGTCATAGGGCACGATGGGGGTCTCAGCAGGGAGGTGTTAGAAAGAACTTTTTTTTTTTTTTTTTGAGACAGAGTTTAGCTCTTGTTGCCCAGGCTGGAGTACAATGGCGTGATCTCAGCTCACTGCAACCTCCACTTCCCAGGTTCAAATGATTCTCCCGCCTCCGCCTCCCGAGTAGCTGGGATTACAGGCATGCACCACCACGCTGGGCTAATTTTGTATTTTTAGTAGAGACGGGGTTTCTCCATGTTGGTCAGGCTGGTCTCGAGCTCCCGACCTCAGGTGATCCACCCACCTCGGCCTCCCAAAATGCTGGGATTATAGGCATGAGCCACCGTGCCCGGCCAGAAAGCACTCATTATGGGATTTGCAGTTCTGCTTGGTGTTTTGGGGGCACAGCTTAAGGAAGTGGGGGTTTGGGTGGGATGAATTTCTTGGTTGGAAATTTTACTTTCTTTTTTTGAGATGAGTAGATAAAAACAAATAAAAGCAACACACAGGTGAGGCATGGTGGCTCACATTTGTAATCTCAACCTTCCAAAGTACCATCCAGAAAACGGCTGTTGTGGCTAGGTGCAGTGGTTCACGCCAAGGCAGGTGGATCACTTGAGGTCAGGAGTTTGAGACCAGCCTGACCAACATGGTGAAACCCCGTCTCTACTGAAAATACAAAAATTAGCCGGGTGTGGTGGCTCATGCCTGTAATCCCAGCACTTTGGGAGGCTGAGGTGGGCGGATCCCCCGAGGTCAGGAGTTCGAGGCCAGACTGGCCAACATGGTAAAACCCTGTCTCTACTAAAAATACAAAAAATAGCCGGGTGTGGTGGTGGGCACCTGTATTCCCAGCTACTCAGGAGGTCAAGGCAGGAGAATCTCTTGAATCCAGGTGGTGGAGGTTGCAATGAACCGAGATCATGCCACTGCACTCCAGCTTGGGCCACAGAGCAAAACTCTATCTCTTTTTTTTTTTTTCAGATGGAGTCTCACTCTGTTGCCCAGGCTAGAGTGCAGTGGCGCAATCTCTGCTCACTGCAGACTCCACCTCCCGGATTCAAGCAATTCACCTGCCTCAGCCTCCCGAGTAGCTGGAATTATAGGTGCCCGCTACTGTGCCCGGCTAATTTTTGTATTTTTTTTGAGACGGAGTCTCGCTCTGTCATCCAGGCTGGAGTGCAGTGGCCGGATCTCAGCTCACTGCAAGCTCTGCCTCCCGGGTTTACGCCATTCTCCTGTCTCAGCCTCCCAAGTAACTGGGACTACAGGCGCCTGCCACCTCGCCCGGCTAATTTTTGTTTTGTATTTTTAGTAGAGACAGGGTTTCACCATGTTAGCCAGGATGGTCTCGATCTCCTGACCTTGTGATTCACCCGTCTCGGCCTCCCAAAGTGCTGGGATTACAGGCTTGAGCCACCGCGCCCGGCCTAATTTTTTGTATTTTTTTAGTAGAGACGGGGTTTCACCATGTTGGCCAGGCTGGTGTCGAACTCCCGACCTCAGGTGATCCGCCCGCCTCAGCCCCACAAAGTGCTGGGATTATAGGTGTGAGCCACTGTGACCAGCCCAAAAAAAAAAAAAAGAAAAGAAAAAAAAGCAAGGGAGGCCGAGTGCAGTGGCTCAGACCTGTAATCCCAGCACTTTTGAGAGGCTGAAGTGGGAGGATTGCTTGAGCCCAGGTGTTTGAGACCAGCCTGGACAACACAGTAAGACCCCATCTCTACAAAAAATTAAAAAGCCAGGTGTGGTGGAGCATGCCTGTAGTCCCAGCTACTCGGGAGGCTGAGGTGGGAGGATTTTTTGAACCCAGGAGGTCGAGGTCGCAGTGAGGGTGCAGTGAGCTATGATTCCACCACTGCACTCCAGCCTGGGCAACAGAGTGAGATTCTGTCTCAGAAACAACACAAAACAAAAGAGCAGCTAGGGAGAGAAGTAACTATTATTCAGCATCTTAATCAGCTATGTGAAGAAGTCGGAAGGAAGGAAGGGAGGGAGGAAGGAAGAAAGGAAGGAAGGGAGGGAGGGAGGGAGGGAGGAAGGAAGGGATTTGGGATCTGCAGTTCTGTTAGGTGTTTTGGGGGCACGATTTTGGTGCAAATCCTGCCTCCTTAGAGCTCCAGGGGTGGGAGGATTTTTTGAACCCAGGAGGTGTCGAGGTGTCGCAGTGAGGTGCAGTGAGCTTGCGATTCCACCACTGCACTCCAGCCTGGGCAACAGAGTGAGATTCTGTCTCAGAAACAACACAAAACAAAAAGTGAGCAGCTTAGGGAGAGAAGTAATTATTATTCAGCATCTTAATCAGCTATGTGGAAGTCTGAAGGAAGGAAGGGGAGGAGGAAGGAAGAAAGGAAGGAAAGGGGGAGGGGAGGGGAGGAGGGAGGAAGGAAGGGATTTGGGATCTGCAGTTCTGTTAGGTGTTTTGGGGGCACGATTTTGGTGCAAATCCTGCTCTCCTAGAGCTCCAGGAAGCTGGAAGGAAGGGCGGAAGGAAGGAAGGGAAGGAAGGAAGGGAAGGAAGGAAGGAAGGAAGGAAGGAAGGGAGGGAAGGAAGGGAGGGAGGGAGGGAGGGAGGGGAAGGAAAAAGGAAAGAAGGAAGGAAGGAGGAGGGAAGGTGGGAGGGAAGCAGGAAGAGGGGGAAAGGAAGGAAGAAGGAAGGAAGGAGGGAAGGAGGGAGAGAGGGAAGGAAATGAATGAAGAAGGAAAGAAGGGGAGGGGAGGGAGGGGACGGAAAAGGAAAGAATGAAGTGAAAGAGGGAAGGAAGGAGGGAGGGAGGGGAGGAAGCAGGAAGGGGGAGAAAGGAAGGAAGGAGGAAGGAAGGAAGGAGGGAAGGATCGAGGGAGGGAAGGAAATGAATGAAGAAAGAAGGAAGGAAGGAAGGAAGAAGGAAGGAAGGAAGGAAGGAAAGAAGTCGGAAGACTAAAGCTGTGCTTGGTAAGGAACAGCCGTCACTGGTATTAGCTGGCAGCAGAGGAGGTCCAGTTACTCTGATGGTGTGGACAGTGTTCGTGTTTTGCCTGTGTTCAGACATGATTACGGAGGAGGCTTGTTTTGTCTTGCTCTGCCACGGTCACAGAGTGGCCTTGTCTGATGTCGGCGTCATGTGAGATTGTTTATGTCCAGCAGGAGGACACCAGGGCCCTGCTTGGACTGCCAGGCCAGCTCCTAGCAACACCAAGGCCAGCTGTGAACACCAGGCCAGCTCCTGGGTCTGTTTCAAAGGTCGAGCTCAGACCTAGCCAGAGGGGGGACGCTGGGAGGGCTGGGCTGTGTCCGCAAAGCTCACTGCTGTATCTCTGTTGCCCAAAACAGGACCTGGCACACAGGAATCACTCGGGCAAATGCATTGCGCTGTTCCAAGGCTGTTGGGCTCGAGAGGAGGGATCTGCTTATTCACGCAGCAGCAGGCTTTGCAGCCAGAGGTCTCTTTCCTCTGCATGTCTGCACCTTGGCTTTGGATTTTTTTTTTTTTTTTTGATTTTTACTTTTTTAGAGATGGGTCTTGCTGACGCCCAGGCTGGAGTGCATTGGCGTGATCTCGGTTCACTGCAACCTCCACCTCCTGGATTCAATTGATTCTCGTGCCTCAGCCTCCTGAGTAGCTGGGACCACAGGCACAGGCCACTGCAGCTGGCTTGGCTTGGGTTTTTCAGCTGCGAAAACAGTGACCTCCCGGCTGGGCGCAGTGGCTCATGTCTGTAATCCCAGCATTTAGGGAGGCCGAGGTGGGTGGATTCCCCGAGGTCAGGAGTTCGAGACCAGCCTGGCCAACAGGGCGAAACCCCAGCTCTACTAAAAATATAAAATTAGCCGGGCACAGTGGCAGGTGTGCTGTAGTCCCAGCTACTTGGGAGGCTGAGGCACGAGAATCACTTCAACCTGGGAGGTAGTGGTTGCAGTGAGCTGAGATCGCCACTGCATTCCAGCCTAGGCAATAGAGTGAGACTCTGTCTCAAAAAAAAAAAAAAAATTCAAAACAAAAAGTTGGTTAACATCATGAGTCATCAGGAAAAGGCAAAACAAAACCACAACGGGATACTACTTCACACCTACGACGATGGTTATCATAATCAAAAAAGGATGTTGCAAGGACGTGCCGAAACTGGAACCCTTGTGTAACGCTGGTGGGGATGGAAAATGGTACCGCTACTGTGGGAAACAGTTGGGCAATTACTCAAAAAGTTCAACGTAGAGTTAGTAAACGACCCAGCAACCCCACTTCTAGGTATAGACCCAAAGGAACTGAATCCAGGGACTGCAACTACATATTCACGAATCTTTCTAGCTGTACTTATTCACGATCACCAAAAGGCAGAAACAGCCCAAAGGACCATCAGCTGATGCGTGCGTAAACAAAATGTGGTCCATCCACATGGCGCAATGTTATACAGCTGCAAGTGGAATGAAATTCTGATACATACTGCAACTTAGGAACCTCAACACCATTATGCTCAGCTGGGTGCGGTGGCTCACACCTATTATCCCAGCACTTTGGGAGGCCAAGGCAGGAGGATCCCTTGAGTCCAGGAGGTCGAAGCCTGGTGAACATAGCGAGACCCCATCTCTACAAAAGAAAAATTTAAAAAATTGCCCAGATGTGGTGGCGTGCACCTGTAGTCCCAGACAATGTGGAGGCCAAGGCAGGAGGATCTCTCAAGCCCAGGAGTTCGAGGCTGCAGTGAGCTCTGATCGCACCATTGCACTCCAGCCTCGTGACAGAGCAAGACCCTGCCTCAACAACAAAAAGCAAATATCAAAACAGCCCATTATGCTGGGTGGAAGAGGCCAACACAAATGGTCACATATTATATGATTCCATTTGTATGAAATATCAAGAAGGCCGGGAATGGTGGCTCATGCTGTAATCCCAGCATTTTGGGAGGCCGAGGTGGGCAGATCCCTTGAGGTCAAGAGTTCAAGACCAGTTTGGCCAACTTGGTGAAATCCGTCTCTACTAAAAATACAAAAATTAGCCAGGTGTGGTGGCACGCACCTGTAATCTCAGCCACTTGGGAGGCCGAGGCAGGAGAATTGCTTGAACCTGGGAGGCAGAGGCTGCAGTAAGCTGAGATTGTGCCACTGTACTCCAGCCTGGGCAACAGAGTGAGATTCTGTCTCCAAAAAAAAAAAAAAAAATCAAGAAGAAGTAAAAATAGAGACAGCAGAGAATGCAGATTAGTGGTTGCAGGGGCTGGGAGGAGGGAGGAATTGAGTGATTGCTTTATGGGAACAGGGTGTAGAGAAGGAAAAATACTTTTTCCTTTATTCTTAATTCTTACCTGTGATGGATCCTTGCAATGAAAGAATTAACAAGGGCGGGCGCAGTGGTTCATGCCTGTAGTTCCAGCACTTTGGAAGGTCGAGGTGGGAAGATTGCTTAAGCCCAGGGCTCAAGGCCAGCCTTGGTAACACGGTGAGACTCCATTTCTACAAAAAATAAAAAGAAATTAGCCACTCGTGGTGGTGGACACCTGTGGTCCCAGCTACTCAGGAGGCTGAGGTGGGAGGATCGCTTGATCCCAGGAGTTCAAGGCTGCAGTGAGTTAAGATCGTGCCACTGCACTCTACCCTTTTTTGTGGGTAGTTGGTCATGCTACCATGGGGCAGAATGTAGCAAGCTCTGGGGATCATCCTGGGTCCTCAGACCCAGAGAGCACACATGTGGTGGCCTCACATCTACACATTTGGTTCCTCCCAGAGTGAGACCCTGTCTCAAAAAAAAAAAAAAAAGAATTAACAAGGGAAAAACAAATTTATTAACATGTATACCTTATGTATACATGAGAGACGCCAAGAGAAATGAGGTGGCTTATATAGCTTATATAACTCCTGCTTAGATAGCACTTTCAACATAGAGCAGCAAATGTTTGGAGAAGTGACAAGACGAAGGAAAAAGACATTGAGGCCGGGTGCAGTGACTCATGCCTGTAATCCTGGCACTTTGGGAGGCTGAGGCGGGCGGACCACTTGAGGCCAGGAATTTGAGACCAGCCTGGCCAACGTGGTGAAACCCTGACTCTACCAAAAATACAAAAATTATCTGGGCACAGTGGTGCACACCTGTGGTCCCAGCTACTTGGGAAGCTGAGGCAGGAGAATTGCTTGAACCAGGGAAGCAGAAGATGCAGTGAGCAGAGATGGCGCTACTGTACTCTAGCTTTGGGAACAGAGCAAGACTCCCTCTCAAAGAAAAAAAAAAAAAGACGTCTCAGACAAGAGTCTAAAGGTGTCCCTGGTGATAAATCAACCTTTGTCCTTCCCCGTAGAGAGGGGAGGAGGGCACCTTTGTACATTTAGGTCCTGCTTTGAGGCAAATCAGGGAAGAGCAGACAGCTTTTCCAGTACCAGCTCCATTGATCTCAGCTCAAAATAATCCTATACCAAAGTTGCGTATTTCAGAGTGGCATATGCTGGTCTCCTACGGGGGTCTCTTTTCAGGGTGATAAAAATACTCTGAAACTAGCAAAGGGTGATGGTTGTACAACATGGGCATGTACTAAATGTCATTGAATTGTGCATTTTTATTTATATTTATTTATTTATTTATTTTGAGGCAGAGTCTCGCTCTGTCGCCCAGGCTGGAGTGCAGTGGCGCCATCTCGGCTCACTGCAAGCTCTGCCTCCCGAGTTCACGCCATTCTCCTGCCTCAGCCTCCCGAGTAGCTGAGATTACAGGCGCCGGCCACCATGCCTACTTATTTTTTGTATTTTTAGTAGGGACGGGGTTTCACTGTGTTAGCCAGGATGGTCTAGATCTCCTGACTTCGTGATCCGCCCACCTTGGCCTCTCAAAGTGCTGGGGTTACAGGCGTGAGCCACCGAGCCCGCTCTTTTTTTTTTTTATTTATTTTATTTTTTGAGACGGAGTCTCTCTCTCTCCCAGGCTGGAGTGCAGTGGCGTGATCTTGGCTCACTGTAACCTCCGCCTCCCGGGTTCAAGCGATTCTTCCGCCTCAGCCTCCCAAGTAGCTGGGATTACAGGCGCCAGCCATCATGCCTGGCTAATTTTTTTTTTTTTTTTTTGTATATTTGTAGAGACGGGGGTTTCACCATCTTGGCCAGGCTGGTCTCGAACTCCTGACCTCAGGTGATCCTCCCAAAATGCTGGGATTACAGGAGTGACCCAACGCGTTTGGCCAAAAATCGTGCATTTTAAAATGGTTAATTTAATCTTGTGCGAATTTTACCTCAAACACAAAAACGGGTGAAAATGGTATTTGACTGTTTTTCCACGAGATGATACAAGCATATTGCACAAAATTTAACAGCTACAAAATGGCATAAAGGTGAAGATGTAATATTTTCCCCAATCACGCGGGTTACCTTTTCTGGAGAAAGTCCGGTTACAATTCTTGTGCATTCTAGAACAATTCTATGCATTTCCATAACGTCGAAAGATGCCTTGTGATATTGCAGCAGTCATTCCTGCTCACCACAGGCAAGCAGACAGTGCAGAAAAGGTGAAGCACAAAAATTAAAAAGGAAAATCTCTCCTTGAGCCATTGCTAACAGGTTGGTGGTTTTGCTTGGAATATTTTGGGAGCGTGTGGGTAGTTGGTTAAACTTGGAAATATACTTTTTTGTGCGTGGGTAGTTGGCCAAACCGCCGTGGGGCAGAATGCAGCAAGCTCCGAGGATCATCCGGGGTCTGCAGGCTTGGAAAGCACACACGTGTCGTCCCCACCTCTGCAAACTCTGTCCCTCCCCTGCAGCGGACAAGAAGCCGGTCCGGGGACAAAGGCCTGCGACCGCGCCTGCGCGCAGGCCTTTGGGGCGCTCCCGGGACCCCGGCCTGGCCCCGCCCTCTGGTGCGGCGCGCCGACGTCGCGGTGACGTCACGGAGTTGCCATGGCGTCGCTGAGCGGCCTGGCGTCGGCGCTGGAGTCGTACAGGGGCCGGGACCGCCTGGTGAGGCAGGGGCGGACCGGGGCCGGAGGGCCTAGAGTTTGGCCCAAGCTCAGAGACGGGGAAACAGGCCAGAGAGGGGAAAGAGTCGCCCAGGATACTCCGTCGCAGAGGCCCCGTCCGAGCTAGGCTCAAACGCGGTGCCCTAGCATTGGACATTTATTTATTCATTTAGGCTGGAGGGCAATGGTGTGATCTCTGCTCACTGCAGCCTCCGCCTCCCGGGTTCAAGCGATTCTCCTGCCTCAGCCCCCCGAGTAGCTGGGACTACAGGCGTCCTCCACCACGCCCTGCTAATTTTTTGTAATTTTAGTAGAGACGGGAGTTTCACCGTGTTAGCCAGGATGGTCTCGATCTCCTCGCCTCAAGTGATCCTTCTGCCTCGGCCTCCCAAAGTGCTGGGATTACAGGCGTGAGCCACCGCGCCCGGCCAACGTTGGACATTTAGATCATTTGTGTCAACCCAGCCTGGCCGGACATTGACACACTGGCCAGATTCTCGTGTTTGGATGTTTTGGATCTGACCAGGCCACTGAAGTCAGTCCCTGCGTCGTCCTGAACAGTCTCATGTTGGGATTTGGGATGTTGCAGGGCTCCCCTGTGGCTGGACATTGAATTCCAACCAGATCACCTATAGGTGGGCATTTAGGTTTTTTCAGCCAACGTAGACCAACGAACCCACCGTGGCCTGGGCCCTGCCATGTCTAAGCAGTGATGGGTTCCAACAAAACCCCAGTTGGTCATTTAGATCGTTTGCACCAACCCAGCCTAGCTGGACATTTACATACCAAACAGATTCCCATGTCTGGACATTTAGGATCTGACCAGGCCACTGTAGTTGGTCCCTGGATTGTCCCAATCAAGTCTCATGTGGGGATTTAGGATATTGTAAGACTCTCCCTATGGCTAGACAGTTTTAAGTTCCAATCAAGTCCCATATGGTTGAGCATTTAGGTTATGCCATCCATGTCCCTGAGTCTGGACTCTTAGCTTGTCCCCACTGGTCTCTTATAGGTAGACATTTAGATTGTACTAGGGGGTGTACTGGTGGCTAGGCATTTAGATTCCATTCAAATATCTTATGACTCGGTGGGGGGGGGGGGGGGGGGGGGGGGGGGTTAACAAATCTCCCCCGAGTTAGACATTCAAATTGCAGTGTTTTGCCGTTATAATGGGCTGGAAAGGAATTACAAGTAAAAATAAATAAAACAACAGGAACAAGCAATTTCTGAAAAGCAGGTAAAATAAAGATATAAGGGAGGCCGGGCATGGTGGCTCACGCCTGTAATCCTAGCACTTTGGGAGGCTGAGGTGGGTGGATTGCCTGAGCTTAGGAGTTTGAGACCAGCCTGGACAATGTGATGAAACCCTGTCTGTACTAAAATACAAAAATTAGCCGGGTGTAGGCCGGGCGCGGTGGCGCATGCCTGTAATCCCAGCACTTTGGGAAGCCGAGGCGGGCGGATCACGAGGTCAGGAGATCGAGACTATCTTGGCTAACATGGTGAAACCCTGTCTCTACTAAAAATACAAAAAATTAGCCGGGCATGGTGGCGGGCACCTGTAGTCCCAGCTACTCGGGAGGCTGAGGCAGGAGAATGGCGTGAACCAGGGAGGTGGAGCTTGCAGTGAGCCGAGATGGCACCACTGCACTCCAGCCTGGGTGACAGAGCCAAACTATATCTCAAAAAAAAAAAAAAATAAGAAAAAAGCCGGGTGTGGTGGTGGGTACCTGTAGTCCTAGCTACTCGGGAGGCTGAGGCAGGAGAATTGCTTGAACCTGGGAGGCAGAGGTTGCAGTGAGCTCACACCTTTGCACTCCAGCCTGGGGAACAGAGCGAGACTCTGTCTCCAAAAAAAAAAAAAAAAAAGAAAGAAAGATATAAGAATAGTGAAGATGACTTACTTCACAAGGCTCCAAATCACCTGCTGAGTAGGTTCTTTCTCTCTAAAGTAATTCAACCAAATTATCCTATTGTTCACTGGGTTGAAACCTGTTCACCTCCACCCAGCGTTCAGCACAGCCAAAGGCTTTGGTCCAGGCAGGTAAATGTAAATATACACTTCAGCTGCGGCTTCGTGCCCCCTGGGAAAAGAAGGACGTGGGAGGTGGGAAGTAAGGAGTTTTGTTTTCTTTCTTCCTGTCACATCTGTCCCCAAAGGCTGTACCCTTCAGTTACATAAGCAGGCACTCCCCACAGTACCTTTGGACAATGATGTTATATTTCTTCATTTGTCCCACCTACAAGTATGTTTTTAAACTTTCAGCTTTTTTTTTTTTTTTTTTTTTTTTTTTTGAGACTGGATCTCGCTCTGTCACCCAGGCTGGAGTGCAGTAGCATGATTAAAGCTCACTGCAGTCTGGAACTCCTGGGATCAAGTGATCCTCCAGCGTCAGCCTCCCAAGTAGCCACCATGCCCTGTTAACTTAAAAAAATTTTAGTAGAGACAGGGCCTTGCTATGTTGCCCAGGCTGGTCTCAAACTCCTGGTCTGAAGGCATCCTCTCACCTTGGTCTTTCAAAGTGCTGGGGTTACAGGCGTGAGCCACTGTCCCCGACCTACACTTTCAGCTTTTACTGTCACTTTGTAGATTTATAATTTTCCAGACCCTTGGGTCAGGCACCATGTCTCATGCCTGTAATTCCTACACTTTGGGAGGCTAAGGCAGGTGGATCACTCGAGGTCATGAGTTCGAGACCAGCCTAGCCAACATGGCGAAACCCTGTCTCTACAAAAAATAACAAATTAGCGGGGTGTGGTGGTGGGCGTCTGTAATCCCAGCTACTTAGGAGACCAAGGCACAAGACTCACTTGAACATGGGAGGTGGAGGCGGCAGTGAGCCAAGATGGCGCCACTGCACTCCAGTCTGGACATCAGAGTGAGACTCTGTTTCAAAAAAAACAAAAAAAATAGAATCTTCCACTCTCTCAATCCAGTGGGGCCCGGGCCAGGTCGGGGGAGATGCAGCTCAGTTCTGCAGAACGGGAGGGCCACGCTGACTGCTTCTGGTTTCCCACAGATCCGAGTGCTGGGGTACTGCTGCCAGCTGGTTGGTGGGGTCCTGGTTGAACAATGTCCCACCAGGTCCGAAGTGGGGACACGTCTGTTGGTGGTGTCCACCCAACTCAGCCACTGCAGGACCATCTTGCGACTCTTTGATGACCTGTCCATGTTTGTCTACACTAAGCAATACGGCCTGGGGGCACAGGTAACAGGGTTTGTGGGGCTCCAGGGAGTAGGGCGCGGATCTGAGTGGACATTTAAAAAAACTTTTTTGGCCCCTCACGGTGGCTCATGCCTACAATCTCAGCACTTTGGGAGGCCAAGGCGGGCGGATCACGAGGTCAGGAGTTTGAGACCAGCCAGGCCAACACGGTAAAACCCTGTATCTACTAATAATACAAAAATTAGCCGGGCGTGGTGGCCCACACCTGTAGTTCCAGCTACTTGGGAGGCTGAAGCAGGAGAATCGCTTGAATCTGGGAGGTGGAGGTTGCCATGAGCCAAGATTGCACCACTGCACTCCAGCCTGGGCGATGGAGTGACTCCATCTCAAACAAAAAAAGAAAATTTTTTTTTTAGAAACGGGGTCTTGCTCTGTCGTCCAGGCTGGAGTGCAGTGGCGAGATCATAGCTCACTGCAGCCTTGAACTCCTAGGCTCAAGTGATCCTCCTGCCTCAGCCTCCCTGAGTGCTGGGATGACAGGCGTGAGCCACCATGAGCGTTTTATAGTCTTGTCCCAAAGTGCTCCCTGCGTGGGTAAGTTTATTACTTTTAAACATTTCACTTTCTTCTTTGAGAGGATCAGATGTTCTCGTTATGATTTCAATTTTTAAAAATAGCGAACATGTTCACGCGTTCCAAAGGGGGATATAATTTTAAAAAACCTCCCTCCTTCCTGATCTTCCAGGCCTCCAATTTTTCCCCACAGAGGCACCCACCATGGTCAGCTTCTTTTTTTTTTTTTTTTGAGAAGGTCTCACTCTGTCACCCAGGCTGGAGTGCAGTGGCGTGATCTCAGCCCACTGCAACCTCTACCTCCGGTGGCAATGATTTTTCTGCCTCAGCCCCTCACATAGCTAGGATTACAGGCACCCCCATCATGCCTGGCTAATTTTTGTATTTTTAGTAGAGATGGGGTTTTGCCATGTTGGCCAGGCTGGTCTCGAACCTGTGACCTCAAGTGATCCCCCTGCTTTGGCCTCCCAAACTGCTGGGATTACAGGTGTGAGCCACCGTGCCTGGTCCTGTGGTCAGCTTCTTGTGTCTCCTTTGTGAGATTTCCTGTACTTGCATAGGCAGATACATATGGTTTACATAAATAGTGCTTTTTTCACTTAACAGTACAACTTGGGCATCATTTCTTTATCTTTCTTTTTTTCTTGGAGACAGGGTCTCACTCTGTCACCCAGGCTGGAGTACAGTGGCGTGATCATGGCTCACTGAAGCCTCGACTTCCCGGGCTCAGGTGATCCTCCTACCTCAGCCTCCCAAATAGCTGGGACTACAGGTGCACCACCACACCTGGTTAATTTTTTGCATCTTTTGTAGAGACAGGGTTTTGCCGTGTTGCCCAGGCTGGCCTTGAACTCCTGGGCTCAAGTAATCCACCTGCCTTGACCTCCCAAAGTGCTGGGATGACAGGCGTAAGCCACCGTGCCGGGCCACAGATTATTTCTTATCAGTCTAGAAAGAGCTCCATTCTCAGGACCACGTGGTGCTCTGCTATGCAGATTCAGATTGATTTAACCGGCCTCCGGCTGACGCACAGGGC